TAGGTGTAGTAGTAGTAGTAGTAGTAGTAGTAGTAGTAGTAGTAGTAGTAGTAGTAGTAGTAGTAGTAGTAGTAGTAGTAGTAGTAGTAGTAGTAGTAGTAGTAGTAGTAGTAGTAGTAGTAGTAGTAGTAGTAGTAGTAGTAGTAGTAGTAGTAGTAGTAGTAGTAGTAGTAGTAGTAGTAGTAGTAGTAGTAGTAGTAGTAGTAGTAGTAGTAGTAGTAGTAGTAGTAGTAGTAGTAGTAGTAGTAGTAGTAGTAGTAGTAGTAGTAGTAGTAGTAGTAGTAGTAGTAGTAGTAGTAGTAGTAGTAGTAGTAGTAGTAGTAGTAGTAGTAGTAGTAGTAGTAGTAGTAGTAGTAGTAGTAGTAGTAGTAGTAGTAGTAGTAGTAGTAGTAGTAGTAGTAGTAGTAGTAGTAGTAGTAGTAGTAGTAGTAGTAGTAGTAGTAGTAGTAGTAGTAGTAGTAGTAGTAGTAGTAGTAGTAGTAGTAGTAGTAGTAGTAGTAGTAGTAGTAGTAGTAGTAGTAGTAGTAGTAGTAGTAGTAGTAGTAGTAGTAGTAGTAGTAGTAGTAGTAGTAGTAGTAGTAGTAGTAGTAGTAGTAGTAGTAGTAGTAGTAGTAGTAGTAGTAGTTAGTAGTAGTAGTAGTAGTAGTAGTAGTAGTAGTAGTAGTAGTAGTAGTAGTAGTAGTAGTAGTAGTAGTAGTAGTAGTAGTAGTAGTAGTAGTAGTAGTACTAGTAGTAGTAGTAGTAGTAGTAGTAGTAGTAGTAGTATTAGTAGTAGTAGTAGTAGTATAGTAGTAGTAGTAGTAGTAGTAGTAGTAGTAGTAGTAGTAGTAGTAGTAGTAGTAGTAGTAGTAGTAGTAGTAGTAGTAGTAGTAGTAGTAGTAGTAGTAGTAGTAGTAGTAGTAGTAGTAGTAGTAGTAGTAGTAGTAGTAGTAGTAGTAGTAGTAGTAGTAGTAGTAGTAGTAGTAGTAGTAGTAGTAGTAGTAGTAGTAGTAGTAGTAGTAGTAGTAGTAGTAGTAGTAGTAGTAGTAGTAGTAGTAGTAGTAGTAGTAGTAGTAGTAGTAGTAGTAGTAGTAGTAGTAGTAGTAGTAGTAGTAGTAGTAGTAGTAGTAGTAGTAGTAGTAGTAGTAGTAGTAGTAGTAGTAGTAGTAGTAGTAGTAGTAGTAGTAGTAGTAGTAGTAGTAGTAGTAGTAGTAGTAGTAGTAGTAGTAGTAGTAGTAGTAGTAGTAGTAGTAGTAGTAGTAGTAGTAGTAGTAGTAGTAGTAGTAGTAGTAGTAGTAGTAGTAGTAGTAGTAGTAGTAGTAGTAGTAGTAGTAGTAGTAGTAGTAGTAGTAGTAGTAGTAGTAGTAGTAGTAGTAGTAGAAGTAGTAGTAGTAGTAGTAACAGTTACAAAATGAACTGCGAATGAATACAGTAAGTGTAGTAATAAGATTTTATTCAGTGGTTCTTCTTTTCTTTCTTTTTTAGGAATATTGCTATTGCATTACAAATTATTAAATCTACATGCATATTCTCTATTGTACTCAATGAAAGACAAGTAGATTGATATCAAACTGAGAATATATAATCAACTCATAAACTGATGAATGAGTATATATATATACTTTTTAAATCTGATAATGATTGAATTAAGCATGAGATTTCGGTTAAGCGTTATTTAGTTTTATATATAATGAAAATAAACTGTGCGTTAAGAAGAGATCAATTGTTAAGTAAGATCAATGGAGAAAGGGTTTGACTAAATTAACTGTAAAATAAGGAATAAGAGCTTAATGGTGAAAAATGCTTGACTTTCGACTGTTTAATTGTAGGCTAGAATATGAATCCACTCAGGTTTTGGATACTTTGTAATAACATTAACTATAATCGAAAAAAATTCAGTTCAAAATCAATTCCACAAATGAAAACTTATAGATGATATATCAATGGGCAAAAGCTGTAGGAGTTTCGTTTTATCTGAGAACTATTTTTCAGCCACTATTCTACCAATATTAATAAAACTCCAAAAATAGATGAAATAGTCAACACTTTTAATTAATCCATTTGTTATGATCAGATGAAGTCTTAAAATTACTGATTCTTATAGACAGTAACAAGGTTAAACTATACATTGCGAATTTAAGTCATTGTTATCAACAATAATGATTAATGACAAATGACAATGTAACGCACTTATTAGGCACAAATTTACACATAAATGACTTTAAACCATGCACTGTGAGATGATAAAATATGTGGAGAAAGACTCGAACTTTGGACGCTGTTATTGGTTGAAAATCAGTTGTTTTTTTTGGCTAATTAATCTTCTCCTTCACTAAAGATCAATCATATAAATAACTTACAAATCTTAAGTCTTATTATCTATAGTGGATAACAACAAATACTTTGAAGTTTGCATGCAAAATACAGGTTAATAACACGAAACATGAGAAATAGAATTAGATGTTTATGTAACTTGTAGAATTCATATCAGACTTATAGTATAATTATAAAATGCAACCGAAATTAAGTTTGATTCAACAAGAAAATATCAATGATGCCAACTAAAATGATAATAATAATAATAAATAATATTAAATCTAATTCATTATAGTAATTACAATAGTTGAGATCATGAGTCAATTGAAGCTAGACCACCTGTAAGCACGAGAAAGTCGTTTTGTTCTATTGTGGGACACCTCAACAGTGCGCATCAACGATCCCGCCTCACGAGATTTGAACTCAAGACCTGTCAATCTCGCGCGAGAGCGGTTACCCATTAGACCATTGAGCTGACCGGGATCCAACAGTGTTAATGTGTAACTTCAACTATTCCACGAAATCGAGCGACACTTCCATCATTATCTTCAGTGAGTTACTATCTCACAACAGACCCGGTTCAACTCCACTGGTCACGGCTTCTCACTAGAACTCCAGGAAATACCTCTTGAAGCCAGTCACTAGTGAGCATATTTTGATTAATATCAGATGGGTTTTGTGAATATTATGGTAACACCATTGGATGCTGGCTCAGTGGTCTGGGGGTTAGGCGTTTACGCGCGGCTGATATGTCCTGGGTTCGAGTCTCGTGAGGTGGGATCGTGGATGTGCACGGTTGAGGAGTCCCACGATAGAACAAAACGACTTTCCAGTGCTTCCAGGTTTTTTATTGTGGTCTAGCTTCAATTGACTCATGATCTCAACTATTAAAATTACTACAATACCCACAAAAAACCCACTCTGACGCTTATTCATTATAATCATTTAAGAAACCTGATTTATATCTAATTTAAAGGCAAAATTTCAATTAAGAATAGTTTTGGTTAAATTAAAACTTAACAATCTATATAATCCCCTCCTACACTGATAGATTTAATTAATTAAACAAAAATGTCTTGGAAACAAAAAAACAACAACAAGCTGTTTATATATATAAGGCATACAGACAAAAATTTAATCATTAATTAGTTGCTTATTGTTTCTGAGACAATTGACCGCTCTGATAGTTACAAACAAAAACAAAAAAAAAACTGAAGGTTGACATAATTCATTAAAATCCTAACCAATCACGATAGAGATCATACATAAACAACCGACTCACAAAGACGGTAGTCAAAAATATTTATAATCCCATGACTACAAAGTGTATGTTTTTTTCTCTTTCTGAAATTAAGCTTAAAAATCAACTATATACAATTTAGAGATTGACTTTATGACAAACTATTAAATTGAAGGTTCCAAAACTTACTTCATCTACTTTAATTTGGTCAATCGATTAGTAGCGTGAATAATAACACAGTTTACTTGTGTAACTTGAAGCTCATTACACAAATATGTACTTGGTAAAAGGGTTAAAGCATTATTTTTTTATATTTTAATTTTACTGGAAGGCGGTTTATGCCAACTAGAGTAACTATTAAAAAGTCATGGAGCACTGAATAGTCGCTATATCATATTTTCAAATTCTGATAGGTTAAGTGAATTTAATAATATTTTATGCCTGAGCTCAAGCGACATCACAAACTCAAAAACTGTAGGTTAGAAGTTGTAAATGGGGAACGCTACCGAGATAAGTCGATTATACACCTAGTCATGTTCTCAGCTTACATGTTATTGAATTAGCAGTAAAGACATGTACGTGTATCACCACAGTTTGTGCACATCATAATTCATTTTAATAACTAAATCCTCTTACTTATTTAATCTTCTTATCTGAATTGTGGGATCGATATACTGTATGGAGAGTTGAATAGTAGAAAACAACAGATTCATTTGTGAATTTGAATGATTCTACAGTCAGTTTCAGTTCAGGTTGAAAGCTAAATTCAAACCGAATAAATTTCAAAAGTCCCTAATGATTAAACAAACCTGATAATTTTTCCTCGAATTTTAAGCTTATGTATTCATATTCATAATACTTCTTACAGTTGATTCTAAACTATATTATTTACTCATTATTTAGTAATCAACACAATGGTTGTTTACTCCTCCAATGTGTTGACTGAACTCTACCGACCAAGTTGAAATATAGTCACCAATCTACATGATTAGACATCTCGTACATTATATCTTGCTGTCAAATCCCAATAATCACGAACTCGTGATTAACTAATGCTTAATAATAGTTGCAACTCTTTAACAAAGCACGTCTGAAATCCAGAAGGAGCTGATTTGTCCATGGGATTTTAACCAAAGTCAAGCGACATCAGAAAAGTTGGCACTCAGCGATGTAAGTCTGAATACTATAGGGAGCATCAATGTCATCAACACTGTGAATGTCATTTGACGACTAGTACGAAGCGTCTTCCAAGTATGTTTTCCTATCAATTATCTCCAACCACCTAATATTAAATTAAACAGACTTAACATTATCTAAGTAACTAACAAACATAAATTTGATTCACCAGTGGAAGGTCCAATATCCATCGAATTTTGATAGGGGTTTTCTCCAATCGATTTTTCGAACTGGATAGCGTCTTTATTATGAGCAACTTGAAAATCAGTTGCTTCACGTGAATCACTGAGTTTCGTGTTATTTTCTGACTCTTCCGGTATTCGAGATAAAGAAGCATTCGATAGGACATTAGAGTTCGTTATGACTGAATTATCCAAACATGAATTAAATTGTTCATTAGAAGATATTTCAGAAGAAGAGGAAGAAACTGTATCATTATCAATGGAAAATTCTGAAATTGGATTGAAAGATGACATTTCCTCTTGAAAATCTGGTAAATTTTTCCCACTTATTTCCATCTTATTTTCTGACTTGTTCAACAATACTACACGATTACTGACAAAATCTTCAGTTTCATCACGCCTATCATCTAGTATAACTGACGAAAGTGAAGTAGACTCTTGAACATCAACTGAACTGCCTAATTCTTTCACTTCTTCCTCACTAGTTGTTTTCACTGAAGTACGCCGAGGATGATGACGATTACTATTATAACTGTTACGTCGATCATATAACTTCAATTCACCACGTTGTGAACCAACACGATTAAAATGTATTGGACTAGGTAGAATATAAGTGGAAATTTCAACAGTAACAGGCTTATGATCAGTTTCATAGAAATTTTTATTAACATCATCATCATTAACATTATTATAGGGTTTACCTTGACTTGATAACTCTTTACTTGAATCACTGACATGAGTATTGATTGTTCTGTTGGTGTATTTATGCATAATATCAACTTTATCATGATTTGTCACTCCCATTTTAGATGAATCGCCTAAAATAGAACTATTCAATGAATCTGATTTGCCTAATGCTTCAGGTCTTGAACGTTCACGACGACCACTACGCCGATCAACCAATATAATATTACTTCTCTGAGATCCCACACGACTGAATACAACACTGCCGTCAGTCTCCTCAACAGATGTATTGGTTTTTGGAGTAATATTAATAATTTTGTTAGTTGGTTCATTCATTGATGAAACTGATGATATGTTGGAAGACAAGAAAAGTGAGGGCCGAATGGAAGAAAATATAAAAAACATGAAAAGAAACGCATAGAGACAACATTAATTAATAAGTAGTTATGAAAACGAGTTAAATTGTACGCGTAATATACACAATCCGTCCAATAAACACGCAAATTGAGATTATAGAAACTTAAATTTATTAACTTTGGACTACACTCATATTCATTCTTCTTCAAAACGGTCCTCAATTGTACAGAAACAAATACTTTGTCTCCGTTTTCTATGTCACAAAACATTTATGGAAGTCCTTTAGCTCTTTAGCTACCTGGTCGTTTCGGGTTGCATCATTTTCGTATCGTAACAGTGCTGCCTGAGAATGATTACTTTTCATTTCCGAACCAAAAATATCACCAGGGGATAGGTCTAATGAGTAGGAATGGTGATCTAAAGTGATTATCGGATTACAGATAAAAAAGAATTAGTATATAATCACTGTTGAATATACAAGTGTATTGTCACGATGCAACAATTATCCATCAGTATCCTATAAATGTTGTTGGACCTTTTAACAGAACTATCTTCGTCTTTCATCTTCTACTTTCTGTTCGTTCACACAAGGTTAGATACAACACTAATGGTCAACTGTTGAATTATGTACATCATAAACAATCCTAATAACTCAGTTCACGCATTTATTAGGTAAACCATGCATGAGATATATATATGAGATGATTATTTATAAATGGATTAATAAAACGTATGAAAAATGATGTTAGTTAGATTCATGTACTGTTTTGTATGTGTGAATTAACAAAATGAATGGTGAAAATAATGATATTGGTTATAATGATAAATGATAATTCATACTTAAGCCCAAAAAATCAGACACAAATAATATTGATGCAAATAATATCAGAGTTTTATCACAAATTGATATGATGGTAGATCATTAATAAATTTATTGATATCAATGTTCAGAAGCCATGTAAACAAGAAGTTTAAACGGAAGAGTTAACAAGTCTGCATAATATGGCGAAGAAGAAGAAGAAGAAGAAGAAGAAGAAGAAGAAGAAGAAGAAGAAAGTAATGAAACTGATAAATAGTAATGGTTTTGTCAAAGTCAGATGTCCTGACATAATGCTAGAAGATAATGTCATCAATGATGGATATCACTTGGGGGGGGGGAACCCCTTAATTTGTGACCAATCTTTAACATTTATGTTATGAACAAAGACTGTTTTTTAAAAAAATCTGGATTATATAGTGTCCAGTCGATTGATTTTGATTGTAAATACACAATCCTTACTAGTCAGTAATTCTTATTCAATATTACTTTCATTATCTGACTAATATTGACTTTATATGCATGTTATTTTCTTGATTATTTTCTCCTATTGTGTTAATTTTATGTGTCAATTTACTTAAGGGCCAGGTTCTATGTTATCTATAGATGACTGGCTGGGTGGATGACTTTATTATTTCACTAATAAACATCGTAGCTATCTTGATGATTACAGTAACTTATAGCAATTTCTAAAATTGTTTTCTTTTATAAACTGCATATTTGTATATAATTTGCACTGCTTAAAATGACTTAGAAAAACAGTCAATAGATTCCATACATTAGTGTTACATTTAAGCATGCTATCCCTTAGCTATTTAACAACTTACTTCAATACAAGCAAAGATGGAAGGTGGCTGGCTAGCAGTGGAACCCAGGACGTGCGCTTCGTCCCATTTTGAACTTCTCTGCGCTAGCCAGTAATATACCTCTAGAACAGTAATTAAAGCTTTACAATTAAAATTTTGTTCAGAAAACTTATCACCTTAAAGAATGCAACATCAACAAAGTCTTCACCTGAAAAACTTTTATAAATACATTTTTTCTCTAAATTATTTACTATTATCAGAAAGGGGGTTCTGTGAAGATTTTAGTAATTTAATCGTTGAATTCATCAGTCAATTAAAGCGGGATCATGGATGCGCACTACTTAGAAGTCCCATACTAGAACAAAACGGCCGTTCAGTACGTCCACATTTTTCATGGTGGTCTAACTTTAATCGACTCATGAATTCAACTATTTAGTATTACAATGATTAAGATCATGAGTCAGTTGAAGCTCGAATCTCGCAGGGGGCGAGGTCGTGGATGCGCACTGCTGAGAAGTCCCACAATAGGATGAGACGGCCGCCCAGTGCTTCTAGGTTTTCCAATTAAAATAGCTTCAACTTACTTATGATGTTAACCATTGAAATTACTTTTAATATCCAAAAAACCCATCTGATATTTAATATTACTTAAAAGAACAAGAGAAGGAAGGAGAAATCGATAATAAATCAACAATATTTCAACTTACTAATATGACCTTAGAAATTTATATGATTTCACAATAAAATCTCTTGTATTTAATCATAAAAACTCGTTAAAATATCTCTTTAATGCATATTAACAATGGTAATCGATAATTATTTGTTTATTGTAAATGATGGTTGAAGTCGGTGATAATGTTGGATACCTTTCTTCCGCCAAACATATATATATATATATATGTTTCAACCAATCACTTTGGTTCTATGAGCAGTGAGAAAATACTAGATCTTATTTATTGAATATGCATAAGTGATTTTGCATAAAAACGTCTACTTTATTATAAACTATATACAAGTTATAGAATAGTGATAATCAACTGACAAAGATATAAATTTGCATAGTGCTTGGTGATAAGGAAACAAACAAGTAAATAAATACACATATATACAACTACAAACTGAGAAGTGTACATTGAAAATGTTGTGTATGTGAAAGAGAGTCAGTTATGCATGAGTTCTTGTATTTATTGTTGGTCGAGACTTTCTAAACGACTACAACTAACGAAGAGTAATTAATGAATTGACTACCGAAGTTAAACATTGCGATAGATTGTGTTGAACGATGGATATGCAATGGTCAAACGCTGAGTAGTTTATTTGTGTTAATTTCTTGAGACATCCATCAAACTATTTATGAATTAATCTGAATAAAACAGATGCTTCCTGTAATAGAAAAATATCGTATGACTCAACCCAGTAATGTTTTGGATTTTTGAAACCTCCAAAAAATCGGCTGCTTACTTACTTGATACTTCGTTGTTTTCTTTTTGTAAACTTAAATTTATGGCTTATTCTCGTTAAAATTCCCTAATCAAGGTATCCTCACTTCTACTTGACGTTTAAGCTGATGATGTTATTCAGAAGAATAAAGAAGACTTCACGATCAATGTGTTCAACTCAGAAAACAAAACTCCAACAAAAGACATCTTTCATTTTTATCACTATCAGTCATATTGTTTACCTATTGGTTTACTGTTCGATTAATATGATAACTTATGGCTCCATATTCACCTCATGCCTTTTGAATAGATGTTATAGTGGATAACGTCTAATATGATCATCAAAACTGAGGAGCTGCACTCATATGACGAGTTCCAAGTAAGACAAAACGCACAACTCGGATTCTACTGATAGTCAAAATTCAAAAATTCTGTAAAACATATCTATAGGCAGGATAGTGGTAACTGTTCAGTATGCATATTAACCAACACAAACTGATCGAATCTAGCCTTCAATAATAGCAACGGGATAATAATGTCATGTTATTATTAATCTAATCACTAACCTGTGAGTTAAACTCAATCATGGATACATGAAAATCTATGGTGAATTCAATTTAAACATTTTAAATTCTATGAAAGTGACTATAGTTCAAGCATTATTGTAATTTATGCTAGAATAGTTCTTGCAACTTCTGAAAAACCTAAGCAGACTATAAGTTATAATATTTGTAGACGATATTTCTAACAGATAGACCACAGATGAGGTACCAAACGACACTAAATATTGTTGTTAGTTGTATCATGGGAATAGTAATCCAATGGCTTAGTGATCAACGACTTGATAGAAGACCTGAAGTTCGTGGTTTCGACCCCGTAGAGAGATCTTGGGTTCCCATTTTAAAGGAGTTGTATACTGGAAAAAAGCATCTATTCTAGGATATCTGACTTTTTAGAAAAGTTGACATTACAAAACAACCGTTTAACACTTTCTAGTTTTTAATAACTTTTCCAATGATGTCATTCGTTTAATGTTAGGAAAATCTACATAAGTCACTGAAAACAACATTTGTTTTGTTTCCATTTTCTAAAATCCATACTTTGAAAAGATGATATTTACCGTGACAATTATTACAAAGAACATAAATGACTCAAGATAACATTAATTATATACCCATAATTACAGTGGGGAAAAAAATACCAAGAAAGAATAATTTTTTCCCATGCATCTATATCGACTGAAAAACAATGAACAATTAAGGATGATGTATATTTTTGTTCTATCCAAATTTGGCGAGTATTAATGTCAGATCGGGTTTTTGTGGATATTGTAGTAATTTTAATAGTTGAGATCATGAGTCAATCAAACCTAGACCACAATGAAGAACCTGGAAGCACTGGATGATCATTTTGTCCTATTGTGGAACTCCTCAGCAGTACACATCCACGATCCTACCTCACGAGATTCGAACCCAGAACTTATCAGTCTCTCATATGAGTGCTTAACCTCTAGACCACTGAGCCGGTCGGCATCCAATGGTGTTAGTATCTGACGTCAACCAATCCACGAAATTGAGCGACACATCTACCATTGTCATCCGTGAATTACTATTTCACGATAGACCCGGTTCAACATTACTGATCACTGCTTCTCTCTAGAACTCCAGGAAATACCTCATGAAGCCAGTCACTAGTGAGCATATATTGATTATTATCAGAAGGGGTTTTTGTGGATATAATATTAATTTTAATAGTTGAAATCATGAATCAATTGAAGCTAGACCATGAATACTTTATGAGTACCTTTACATCTTGGCAATGAATAACATAAAACTTTAAACAAACAACTAGTATTTCCTATGAATTACTTATAACTAACATGAAATATTGGAGAATATACCAGATTTCAAATTCTTATTCTGAATATATTATATTTATATGAAACACTATGAAAAACGAACGGAAAAATGCTGATTTAGTTAATCGACGTAATTGCTTAATCAACAAATAAACACCGTAATTTGAATGTTCATTAATCAATTAAGTTAATAAACTTATCTCAATTAAATCCACCTTTGAACGGATCACGTTTTTATTTATTTATTATTAACATCAAATTAACTAAAACCTCCTGATAGTTAGAAAAAAGGCAGTATCAAAAGCTGTACACTTATCAGTATTGATGTATATATGAAGAATTGCAACTATTCAGAATCAATAAGAACTAAGAAACGTTCAACTGCTATTTTATTCTGCTTAATGGTGCGTACCGTCGATTGTACATGAGATCAAAACCAGGTCTCCTAGTTTTCATGTCATTGATGATACATTTTTACCACTGCTTCGACATCTGTAAGTTCATACTTTTAGTTTCGACGAATCCATTGAAGGGTTTTACACTAAGATGAAATAGCCTCCTTATATTATATTCAACTATATTTATCCAAAATATACTTACCAGCTAAGCTACTTCTAGGTGATTGGATTAAATTTACGTCCGAATGAAGGTAGGTAAACTCTTGGTTACAAAGAACGCGTCCAAATTCCACACTATCAATATAAATAGAATAACGTCCAGGCTGTAACGAAGGCATATGGATACGTAACTGCGATAGATCAGATTGACTTGACTCATCCAAAAACCAATCATCTCTAGAAACTGGATGGTCACCAACAAAAACGGTAGATCGCTTCATTATTTCAGTCGTGAGGAAACGGCAATAAATTGTTAACTCAGTACCACCTAGGAAATAGAAAGCAAATTACAACAGTTTTTTATTAGAAATAAATCACTTCATGAAAAACACATTCAAGAGAGATCAAAGAGACTAGCGAAGTTAGAACGCCTAAAAACAGTACATTAACATACGTTGTCACACATTTAGACAGGAGAGACAGTAAAAGTCAGAAAAAATTATTTATAAACTCAAGGTCCGATCAACAAACAATTAATTGTTACTTGTCTCATCTTTATTTGAGTATATTAAAGGTATACCTAATTCAGTCAAAATTTAACAGCGAGATATGTAGTAAGTGCGTATGTGTGATACACGTTTTAATACTCTGAACCCATCTTATCGATTTTCTTAAGTAAGATCCTTTTTCTAATTTAAAGAGACTTCAGAATTGTTCGCACTCTTTTAGTCTTGGCATATTATCCATCTTAAGGAGTCATATTTTACAATTGTGAAAGAGAAACATTACAAACTACTTAATTATACCTAATCCGAAGGTTACACACGAAACTGAAATGTATCTGAAGACAAGATAACCATCAAGCTGTGCTAATGTAGTTTGGTAACTTGGATGAATACATTTATGTGTTACAATTGATTGGTCACTGGGCAGTGATCAATGTCATGTATGTTAGGTCCTTCTTAGTGCGAATCAAATTCTATCGACCAAGTTTCAATGTGGGTGACACAGGATCGAATCCGTCAGGAAGCATCAGTTCCCTCAAGATTACAGGTATATCTTGCTGACGAGTGCCAAGTAGCACGAAACCTAGGTCTAGGGTTTCCTGTTGATTACCTCCTACTACCATCTTATTTATGTGCTACATTCTACATTTTTTTATAATTAACTGACTAGTGTCAAATGGACAACGTATCAAACTATTCCATTTTCTTAGTATGAGAATCAGCTAATTAGTGAGATGTATCAAGTTTATTTATTATAGTAGGTCATTATTATGGTTTCAATAACTTTGATTGCAAAATATTTCTGTAACATTACTACTATTATTAGTGGCTTTATTCAATATTATATTTTTGGTATAATATAGGATTCTCAGTACAAAATAGTTCAACAAGTTTCCTTTTCTTATTTCTTGATCGATCCTGGAGATAAATATTGAGTAGACGCCACCTAGATATTAGCAATTCTGTAATCGACATATGAATAATGCACATTCTTTACAATGCATATTACCAGCCACCATGATGTCTCTGACTGTACTTTTTTGTAACCTGTACAGCGAAACATCATAAACTTTCCACAGACACACTTGAATAGATTATGGGCTTAATAGACACAATGATGTACTAATGCAAACAAAAGTAGATAACTTGTTGAAATAGCTAGATAACAAGAACAGGTATCCCAGATATTCAAACAGGCTGACTTGTTGAAAGTTGTATCATTGATTTTTGTTTCTCAAAAATTACTATTCCAAATAATGATCATATATTTACAGAATACAATGAATTCATTACATTTCATGAATGGTTTCTCTACATTTACATACAAGTTAATTAAATTAAATTATTTCCAATTTTCAACATCATTTTGAATGTGAAAAATAGATTATCATTCATTTCGATGAAGTTTTGTTCTCTGAGCTAGATGGTTTGGTTCATCCAGCTTAGAGAATAAAACTCCATCAAAATCATTCATCTTAGCTACAAATTTTCCCCACCATCTCAGTGAGTATCATTCAATAATCAATAAATTTCATACATCTTGATCTTTTAATAATTTTTTTATATCAAAACTAGAATAATAAAATTTGTAGAATAATATAATTTCATTTTAGTTCAAGATTTCTCATTAGATACTATGATAATAGTTCATTTGTAAACAATTTGTTGTTTGTTTTATTTTGAAGGGGGGGGGGGTTATTCACCAACTCTTTATTATCATTTATAAGTCTAACCCTTTCTTGTTATGACCTCATCTTTAACAAACAAATACTAATCAGTTTTAACAATTATGTTAAATATGCTATTTGTTCTCTGTATTTCCTAGGTTGTTTCTAATTAAACTTCATTAATTACAATGTTTAAAAAGATTTTATGATAATAATATTATCAGATTGAAGATTTATGGAGATTGAAGTATGTTTAAAGTTAAATTCATGGGTCGATTTCGACAAATCCCCATTCTGCTCACTAGTGACTAACTTCAAGATGGATATCCTTGACTTCTGGTGCGAATCTATAACCAATGGAGTTCAATCCGTGTCTGGTGTGAGACAGTTATTTACCTCAGATAATGGATGGAGCGTTGCACATAATCATAGATTGATACAAGTTAGACATTAACACTGTTGGATGCCAGCTCAGTGGTCTAGAGGTCAAGTGTTTGCGCGCGAGACCGAAGGTTTTGGGATCGAATCCCGTGTGAGGGATAGTGGATGGGCACGGCTGAGAAGTCCTTTTCTAAGACGAGACATCAGTCCAGTATTTCCAAGTTTTCAATGGTAGTCTAGCTTTACTTGACTCATGAATTCAACGTTAGATAATATTACAAACGTAGGTTTATGACGTTCGCAGTTGATTAAGAGCCTTAAACTACAATGAATTCATGTTATTCTGTAAATCTTGTTTCCCTCATCTTATTTAAATAAGTTGTTTAAGATTTAGGTGAAGTTAGGAACTACACTTTTAACAAGGTTTTTATAACTGCTTAGGGTGATAGTTCTGGAATATTTAAAGTAATTTTATAACATAATCGTAATAAAAAAATCTATTGAGGTTTCGAAAGAAAGAGATAGACATATGGGTTAAAATCACTAAATTATGATTATTATTTATCAAAGAACAAAAAGGGTGATGTGAACCAGATGCTTAAAATTATAGTCAGTTTGCTTCATAGAGAATAGGATTTCAATGGTCTAAGTATTTATGGAACACTTATTGAAATTACAGGTTCGCGTACATTAAATTAACCTTCAAACTCCTAAGGTAGTTCTTTATCACAGACTTACATCAACTAAGGAATCATTAAAAAATGTGAAACAATAAATAACTGTTTTGTTCTAGTTTAAGACTGTATGATACGTTGCCTGGGTTTAAACCAAACACAATAAGATTTCATAATAAGTACATTGTCCTTAAATCACTAAATCGGGACCCAGTATTTGGCATTCTAAGCTTTAATTAATTAACGATATAGCCTAAGTATCATTTAGTGTCATCTGGTAGGTAAATAAAGACATGAAATCAATCCATGAAGTCATTGACTGCTGATCTGTTATATATTGGTAAGTGCAAACTTGCTGGTTAAGATCCACGGATTACTCATAGTCAATCGTTTAAGAAGTGGGGTGAGAAAGAACAAATTGATTGTTGTAGTACAAATGCAGATATTCTCTTCTTTCCTTTAAATAGTGAGTATCGTTCCTGACTCTTCATTCTTTGATCTCATTTCTTTCTTTTGAACTGCATCTTATATATTTAAATCTCTATTACAACTACAGTTAGTTCCTTTCTTTTGCTTCTCATCATATTGGTTTCTTCTCTTATTATATTGATTTAACTTGTGGTGTATTGGACTGACATATTTGTTTTCTACGTTAACAATGACTTACTTACTGGCTGACTCTATTGGTGGTAAGAGCTTCACATGAGATTATCGGGAAATCAATCTCGTAACCCATCGTTAATAAGTACACAGCTATAATTTATTTAGGTTAGTTCAATTCTATGAGTTTTGTCATATACTCAGAGGTCAACAGTGTCATTACATAATTCTATAGCAAAGTTGCACTACTTTAATAATTTGCAGTCATTTGGTCGTTTAAATACATACAGTACTACCCTGTAGTCAAAGAAGAATCAAGATAATCACTGAAATATATTACCGAACCTGTTTTTTAATACATCCTTATCAAATTACTGATCAAAACTATCTTGGATATCACATAATTTACTATCACTAAAGAAATGAATTTTGATCACAAAGTTCGAGTTATATTTTTGGTTAACATCACTAGTAATATTTGATTAATGCGATTATACTGACTAAAAATGATGTTACTGTAAAAAGCAAACATCTTTGATAAATTACATTCTGTGATTACTCAGTATGAATTCTTAACCTTAAAAACAGTAAAGAAATTGAATGAGTTATAACAACTCTGGATGTGATTCAGACAAGGAATCAATAACTTCATGAATTAGTACGACGTTGTTCTTGCCTACACCAAGTTTTTGTTAAACTAATTCCATTCCAGTTAACATTATGTTATCAAGGTAGGCACTAAGCTTTACAATTACCCCACATCATATTGAAGTTCATATAGATATGAGCACATCTGGTCCGTTACGTCATTAATCACATTCATTACTTGCAGTGAACAAAATTGGACGATTAAAGTAAATTGTAAATCATGCTCGTAAGTTTATTTTATTTATTTAAACACATAAACATTGGTACAAGGAGGCACCAAATACATATGCGCCACATAAATCATATGATTTATGTAAGGGCTGGGATACGGCCCAGTTACCCAAACCGAAGCAGGTGGTTTTCTTAGGAAGCCACACTCCGAGCCTTTGGCCTAAAGGTCTAATCCACAAGGTAGTAGACCACCCTTAGGAGATGCGGTCCCATGGTAACCAGAGACTAACAACAGGTACATACGCCATTTGTTCCTTTAGGGTACTGGAGGTCATGTACACCACTGATTTGGAATCAGGGTTTTCCAACTTCCCTAGGTGGACTTTCCGTGTCCACCAACCCGTTTACAGCGCCACACATTCTGTTTTCGTCCTCTCGATTTCGTAAACAACACCCCCACCACGAGTAGCTAGTGAGTAGGACTTCCCTGGCAGTGGCTGTATACGCGTACCTATGTGAGAGCACATCGAGAGGGAGAGCTGACTCTCCCCATTCTCGGCCATACCAGGGCATTCGGGGGCTGCTCATAAGTTAATTAAACATATAAATACCGAAGTATATTGTTTAAAAAAAGTGTTAAATATGAAATAACTGGAAAGTTATGAAATATACATGAAACACTTAAACAAAACATAATACCAAATAATAACTTCACTAATTCTTACCTGAAGATGGACCACATTTTGGTGCTATTCTTAATAATTCCGGTTTATTTTTTAAATGTTCATCTGGATCTTTCATACTAATATCAATATTTGAAGCAATTGATCCATTTCTTTTACTTGGATGCATTGAATTTCGGCGTTTTAATTGATTTGTAGCAAATGCCGATGAGGATGATAATGAATTAGCTAATTTTTTCATTAGAAAAAAATGAGTAAAATGATATGATGTTTAAGTGAGAATAATAATGATTGGTTAGTTGCCTAGTCAGACATGTAAATAGTCTGATGAGTTATATATTCCTCTATCCTCATTACTTATTATTGACTGATTGTTCATTGTTGTTGGATTGTATTGGGTTTTTGGTGTGGAAATATATTTACATTCTAGTCAGGTTAATTACCTTTTCTTGATCATTTGAGTTCTATTAAAGTCCTATAGAATAGACACTGGGAAGGGAATCTAGTGTAGATATTCGTCTAACGCAAATTAACGTCCCATACGTGTAGACGAAGTAAAAGCAACCATAATAGTATGATAAATTAATGAATTTAAAATTACTACCTGTTAATTCACTATAAGCTCCAAGTACACTTCCATCCTTTTCTTCAATGACTCCATCTTCATCATTTAAATTCTGTTGATAATAATCTTTAATTAAATAATAATAATAGTAATAAAAATAAATGTGATATTAATTAATCTACATATGTAATAACTGTTTATGTATTACTGTAAATGTTATGGAAAGAGTGCTTTTCAATGATTTGATAGACTAGATTTATGATATAACAGATGAATGTCAATGTTTCCTTTGATCCCATGATATATATTCAAACATTCAGTCACAACGTATGTACATCAATTCCGATTGCCACACCCGTTAGCACACCAAATCACAGAATGGTAGACAACTAACAGTATCAGTGGTATTAGAAAACATCAGGCATCGAATTCACGACTTGAAAATAGTATTTAAATTAGTGAAATAAAAACGGAAAAAATTATAAGGAATTTACAATCTCAGGACTTACGAGAAGACAAAAAGTGGATGCGCCTGCTCTATTCCAAACGACTTTTAGCCATTTCATTCAAAATCTCTAACCACTAGTCACAATAATCAACCAAGCAGTCTACACTTATTAACAGAGTCAAGTCCAATTGTCAGTGACTTCATGGATTGATGTCATGTATTGGTTTGGCCACCCCAGGATTTCTTACATACTACCACTGGACTAGAAAACATCGTCCCGTCGAGGTAGACGGTGGTTGGGCATACGTAGCACGTGTCTTAACTACCTCAGTTGAAGAAGATTTACCACCTCACCAGGTGGTTTCCCGTCACTACCTAATAATCTATTTTTCACCCAGGCATTGTTTACCCTTTGGTCCAAAAATGGCACAAGCGATGCTTCGTAGACAGTTATGATCGAGTACTAGAAGCTTACGAATATCCTCTACTCTTGATTTTTCACATCTATAAAGTAGGACGAAGCAAACTGCTCTCAATCGACCAGTAGCGTTTGAGTAGAGAGTTTGTACAAGATTAATGTACTTCTTTGGTACGCTTTTCAATGACAGACATTGCCACAGAACCTCATGATCGACGAAGTAAAACGCCACCTTTAAGTCAAGAAATAAGACTATGGTAAGATGTTGAAAAGCATGTCTGTATTTCAGAATCTGCTGAAGGGTGAATATTCGGCCTATACATCCATGTTCACGTCTGCAAACGGCTTGGTTTCATCAGGTTTTCTCTTTACGAGCTCTAGTTAAATTTCGAAGTATTATTGAGGCTTGGATATATTTCTACCACTCGATAATAGGGCCGTGGATCTAGATTCCGTTACCACGAGGCTGGATACTCGAACAACAGACTATACACAGGCTGGATCACGTCATATCGGATAGGAATGGGCAATGCTTTACTCAACACTACTGTATGCAGTCTTCACTAAGTAAATTCAGAGAATCTTTGTAGCCTTAGTAGATGATTTTATTGGAGTTTTATTCTCTGAGTCGGATGGTTTGGTCGTGGAGCTTTCATCGTTATTCTGAACGGCATCAGTAGCACAAACTTCAGACAGAAGTTAAACCGATCAACTGATCAGAAAAATTACGGACAAATATAGGACCAAAGATCAAAACAATAGGAGATACAAACAAAATAAAGAAGTAAACAACAACAGGTTAAAGGTCAACAAGAACTAATCAACATCGAGGTTTACAGAGCAAGCTGTGAGCCGTATGTGGAGAAATTCGAACACTTCATTTCTACCTGAAGTTTGTGCTGATGATGTCGTTCAGAAGAAGGATGAAATCGCCATGAGCGAACCATCCAGCTCAGATAACAAAACTCCATCAAAATAAGTCCAGATAAGAAATCAATAATAGGAAAGGAAGTCACACGTTTAATCGTCAGTAATCTGAGTGTCTGTTTGTCCATACCCAGCGGCCGATCACATTTACTTCAACTAGCTACACATCAGTCTAATTGTTAAGATGGATGAACAGAATGTCCGCCGATAGATGAATACAGTGATATGATTAGTTCCTAGTTGATGACTGCTCATGTGACCGAATTAAAAATGTGAGCCAATGAGGGATTCGAAGTTAAAAATAAGTTCACTAGATTATTCTGGCTTGTACTTAGTAGATTTATCTGCATATTATATAACCACGACTGGAAGTTCTGGACTCCATATAGAAGAATTTCCAGTGTATTCAACGCTGTCATTCGACCTTATTATATCACTGCCTAGAAAAATTGTAATGTTGTGTGAACTAAGATTTCCATCTGTGATGCAATTTTAGGACGTGTATTTGATTTTGCACTAATGATTTGTTGGTGGTGTTCACATATGAACTCATGAAGAAGTATTTTGATAAATTTAAATTGTCGTTGCACCAACCAAGCCATAATGATTTCTAAGCATCCATAGTAACTGATATTATAACAATCAATTTTTTCTATCTTCGTCGTCGCTATGATGGTGTATACTTATAGTCTTATAGTCTTATAGTCAACTTTTCCTTTCAGTGGCATGGCGAGTTACTTACTTAATTATGTCTGTTACCTCTCGAGGAGGAGCATAGACCACCAACCAGAATTCCTCAACTAACTCAGTTCTCTGCCTTTCCAGTTTTTTCCAGTTGTTGTTTATTCTTTTGATGTCTGCTTCCGGTTCCCGAAACAGTGTGTTCATTTGTCTTCCACTTTTCCATTTCCCTTCAGGATTCCGAGTTAAAGCTTGTTTCGTGATGCAGTTTTATCATTTTCTTAATGTATGTCTTATCCACTTTCACCGCCTTTTCCTAATTGTCTCCCCAGCTGGAAGCTGGTCTGTTCTTTCCCATAGTAGGCTTTTGCTGATGATAACCTGTCAACGGACATTGAGTATCTTGCGTAGACAACTGTTTATAAATATTTGTACCTTCTTGATGATGGTTGCAGAAGTTCTCCATATTTCAGCTTCATACTGTAGAACTGTCTTGATGTTCATATTAAGGATTCCGACGTTGATATTGGTTAACACTTGTTTTTAGTTCCATATGTTCTTCATTTGTAGGGATACTTCACAAACTTTTTAATCAGTGCCTTCTGCATCTGCATCAGATCCTCCTTCTCCATCGATGAGGCTAACCAGGTACGTGAAAATGTTCACTTGCTGCAGAGGTTGCTGATGCGCTGGATGTCTTATTAAATGGTGAATGACCTAGAACAAATCTTACAAACGTGTGTGTTTCAAACGATTTTTAGTTATGTTTGGTTGTTTCGTTTGCATACATAAGTATATAAGTAAGTATGTGAGTCGTTTCACTTGAAACGTTGATTGACAGCTACTTGTCTTCTGATACCAGTTTATTTGACAGATCTTATGAATAAATCGATCTCATGAACGTTTGTTAGTTAACCACATTCTGCTATTTTGCATCATCTATTTATCAGCACTCATATTCTAGCAACATTAAAATAAACTACCAGACAAGTTAGTCAAAGCAATGAGAATTACATAAACAGTACAACTGATTTTATCAATTTTTTAGATTAATTAATAAAATTAACCTGGTTTAAAAATATTTACAGATAAAAAGAGGCTGCATACCAAATGGATTGTAACCATTATTCATCGGCTTTGTATTCAACAGTGAGTTCGAAGGTGAACGTGATTGTCGAATTGGAGCAGGCACATGTAATGCATGATTGGCTACTTTCTTATACCACCGTTTCTTTTTCTTGTGCTCATCATTATTTGACGATAAACTTATAACACTTCCACTATAATTTAATGAGTTTGGTGTTGAACCTTTGTCTTTATGAAGATGTAAGCTAAAAATAAAGAAGCATTAGTAACAATAATAATTTAAAACCCATTACAGCTCGTTTATTACCATTTTTTCAAAACTTGCTCGACAGCGAAATATAGAAACTGCATTGACTTTTCATACAACATAAGAATTAGACAATTTCAAGAGCTAACAATTAATTCAATGTAGATAGTCAGTAGTTGTTAATGTAAAGTCGAGCACCAGTATATATCACCCCAAGTCAACATATCAAAATCAAAATGAGGTGATAAAACTGAAAAGATGAATTGAAAGGAATTCAAAATAATTTTAATAGTAGCAACAGTCGGAGAAATAAGTGTTGGAAATATGGTTTGAGAAAGGATTTGGTGTTTATGGAGGAATGCTATCACTTTAGAACTAAAAGAGGATGAAGACTGAGTGCATTTGCAATTGTGGTAGATCATTAGCTATATTACTCAGAAGTGCTAATCACTGGTCGCGGTTATGGCGTGGATCCTAACCACGTAACATGTACTTAGTATCACGAGTCATTCCAATGCTCATAGATTTCGTGGTTCAATGTCGTGTCTTAGTTTGATCTCTCCTAATTTTCTTCCAATCAATTTATTTTTGATTTCACATGGTGAACTCAAAAAAATTAAATCCGCACAGAATTGAAAAAGAATGTTAGTTTGGCAAAAAATGAAACATTATGTTAAACACATTAAGCCACAGAACAAACCCAGTTTAAGCGAACATCAATATTCATTGGTCATGATATAGTCAGCTAGCTATCTTATAGTTGATAAGAGTTATTACATTACATGTGACTAAATTCTGAGGTTGATAAAACTTCTCGTCAAATGTAACTGTCAAAGCAGTGATAACTATGCAAGTAAATATAAATACAAATTTCATTAACTATGATTGTCTTCCAACATACCAAATTTTTAAAAATTCTAATCTATCACATAGCGTTTAAAAACAAAAGTTATAAACCATCGCTAAAACGCATTCCAACAAATTTATACACCGAAAAATTAAGCCGATATAATGTAGTGCCTTTAAAAATCCTGACTTTTTGCTTAGCTGCGTGCAGTTATCTTCCAAATTCTTGGTATTCATTCTAAGTTTAAAGACCTACCTTTTAAACTTTATTAAACACTTGTACTCCACCTACATCAGGGATGCTAACCAATAACAGAATTGGCCTCTATAAACATGTGGTAAACAGACAAGTGAATAATAATAAGTACAAAATTAAACTTTTTACTTTACGTGACGTACACCGTATCAGATCGACACACAATCTTGTCGACAGGTCAGGATGCATAGACTGCGGTGGGTTTTCATATCAGAGATTCTTCTTGTAAATTCATGGCTTGTGCTAAAGAACACCTAAGCTACACAAAATGTTCTCCAAACAGTCCTGTAGAACTAGAAAACTCGCAAACCCTACTTACTTAATAGAAAAAGCCTCACAATTCGTCAAACATGAACCGTTCATCGCTGCATAGTCGTGTTGCAACTAACATTTTTCCGGCTTTGTATGACAAATAATTATCTGTTTCTTCATGAGAAATATACTTATATCTTCTAAAGAGTAAGTGTTTAGTCTATTTAAATTAAGACAATGAAAAAGAGTAAAGTATCAACCATTTTGATCTCAAAAATAGGAGTGTCGAATGAAGTTAAAACCCCATCGCACTATGAGGTTTGACAATAGGAACCAAATAAACCACAATTCACGAAGCACGATTATCATATAAAATTCAATTCCATTAGCGAATGGGAGCTCACCTCGACAAGCTTAAGATCGACCCCATGGTGCTCCTGCTTTTAGATTCCTCGCTACGGTACTCTTCCACCCAAATCCAGAAATAAAGTCTTCCAAAGCCAATCTCCGTCTTTTTAGTTTGTTCCATCTCCATGATGCATAGTCGGGAATTATCCGTAAGACTAACAGAAGGATCTGTCGGTTTTGGCGGGATTGTAACTCCGGGTACAACTACCTGACCGACATGATTATCTTCAGAATCGGAAACTAAGAGGACAACTGGATCACCCCTAGTTGCAATTTTACTACACAGTGTATTAAAAATTTAGAGGCTTACAATGTAGTTTCAAAGTTCCAAACAGGATTACCATCCGGTGCATAGATACACTCTGTACTAATTTTCTTTTTTCCACCTAGAACAACGCATTTCCATTTCTGGCTAACTTTTTCTGTCACAAAAATTACTTCAAGTTATGTAGTCAATCTACTTTGTTTATGATCAGAACGTGGTGCAACACGTAGATTCTCAGCCTTGTACACTGATAAAATTTTGTCAAAAGGCTCAGCAAACTAACCTCTAACAGTAACTTCTTTAGGATGTCGGATGTTTGAAGCTAACATGTCATCAGGAAAATATTTTGAAAGTTCTCCAGATTCATTGCTACGACGAAGGCAAAAAGAGGAGGTTCTAAACAAATAGTGAGAAACAATTAGATAAAATTAACGTTTCTTTCTCTTGTTTAGAGTTTAATTTACCATGTTTAAGGGAAAAAGTAAGTGGTGGGTTCGCTTTATAAAGTAGTCTATACAAACACAGACCTCATATATAGTGTATTACTAATTATTTTCAGTAACTGATGCGAGTAAGTATTTAAAATGTTGTTTGTACAAGAAAATTCAGGGATTTATCAGTTCTAAAAATGGAGGAAATAGGGGAAGCGGACGATATAGGCTGCAAACATGTCATAGTGACAGACAATCTCATTCTACTTACTCAGAATTCATAGTGCTACCCAAGGCTGGCCCTAAATACAACACTGCTGAAGTTGCCTTGACCACAATCGATTGAATTCCGGGAGAATGCACAGTTCCTTTATCGTCCTCTTTTTATCATGGATTTAACCTGGCATTCCTGCCAGTTTTCAGACGTCATGTGTTTGACAAAGCCTAATACAACCTAATGCACTACACCGAAGCGACCGTTATCCCTGTTTTAATAAAAAGACAAAGGAGATACGTTTCAATAGAACTATGGGTGCTATCAGCATGTCCAAAACATCTCTGTACTAAATATAGGTTTCTCTGTTTTTCTTTCTTTGAAAAGTCAATGTCACGTTTAAGTTATTGTTGTATTCAAAGGAATCTAATTGAAACTTCATACATAATCATGTATTTTTGCTTGGATAAGACGTTTAGACATATTAAAAACTCTTTGACGTCGATTGACATAGAATTTGCTTTCCGCCGTTCTGCAAAACTTTTACATGCTTGTGGAATTCTTTTCTCGGCTCCACTGACATTATCCTTTGTATTTAGGCTGACTGGAACGCTTGGTAATATCGTCAAAAACCAGTCAATAGGCAATATGAAATCGACCAAGTTTGTTATTCAACAGGAAAGAGGAATAACAACTTTATGGCCAGAATTCAGGTAATATAATATAACTTATTTCTGCAAAGGCAGGTACACGCCATTTCTACAGGCGTGATTTACAAATTACAACATTTATTGTTTCACAGTATGCACGTTAAATAAATATAGTCTATAAAAGTGAATATCAGTTTATTCCTCCAGAGATATTGAGTAATCTTCAGAACATTCTCCAAAGTGGCGTCGCGTCCACATTACACATCAGACTCACTCACGGCATAATTGTGTTAGGATTTTAGTCGTGTTAAGTATTTATGCAATGCAACTTTTAAAGTTCATAGTTGTTATAAAGTAAACGTGTAGAGCGCTTGGTGTAAACTGTGACCTCGGACAAACACGCAAGTCTGGTTTGTTCTACATGTCAGAAGTTCCATATCTCTGACTTCAGAGTAAGATTCTGAAAAAAAGAGAAACCGAGGAGCAACAGAGCACATGGATATGAACAACAAACAATAATTAACATTTTGTAGTCGAACAGACAGATGTATGATAAATTATCAGAATAAATTCATACCAGCTCTTGCAGCTAGAGTGAAATGTGATCAGAGGCTTCCGATGACAGAATGTAGTAATAAAGAACAATGAATTGTGATATCTACCAAGGTGCAGTAAGTTCAAATGAAGGAAAAGAAGTCAGGGTTGGAATACGAAACGCTGTTTACTAGAACAGGGAGTGCGTATAGAGAGTAGTGTTACGTAAACCAATAACCATGTCTTTTATTGTCTGACCTTCTTTTTCTTCACATCCGATGCCTGCCATATAGACTTAATCTAAGAGTCCGAGTTAGCACGTTATGGGTTGTCTTAGCAGAATAGCTAATCCAGCATAAAATTGGAAACATGAGTCTGAGTGGTGAGTGTAGGAAGACAATCTGTATTACAGATTGATTGACTTATTTTCAGTCATAAAGAGCCTGATTCATACAAAATGTTCTGCCCCACATACGCGGGTGAATGGCAGTCATCGCCCTCACCATCAATGCTCGCTGGTCAGTAACTCCACCCTCAATCCTTCTGTGATGTTAGGCTCATTTAAGCTTATTTCTGAGATATATATCATACCTCACACAATCCTCTGTGCTTCACATCCTGTTGGAAAACACTGTTTCTATAAATACCACTTTACAAGCTTACCAGGCAGTTACGAATTACGGAGAATGGGCAAGGTATCGATGCAATGCTTTATTTGACTATAGTATAAAGTATAGCTTGCCAATCCCAGTATAGGCTATAAGAGGGGTTATATTGTAGGATAGTTATTATTATTATTATTATTACTATTATAATTATTCACATACATCTTATGGGTACATAAGTGTTGTGAAGAAACCATTCTGGGTTCTTCAAAAAATGCAATAATACACAATTTTCAATAATGTCAGCATTATATTTGCCATATTATAAAAAAAGTGATAATAATAGGATAATAATAATAGAATAATAATAATAAATTGGGCCTGTGTAATTTAGAAGAATATTGGGGTGGAAAAACTAACTAATACAACTGCAAAGTAGGAAAACTAAGGCAAACTGGACTTGAAGTTCATTTTGGTCTAGACATTGAGAGCCTATGATGTCTGAAAGGGGCGCAGATGCTTTCTTACGTGCTAGATCAGTGCAAGCGATGGCTTGATCAAGCAGTTTTACAAACGAATATAATTCATCTGCCATGCGCATTTTGGAGGGAATACTGTCCCATATTATTGCACACTTGATGGGGAAGAAGTTTTCCTGAGTTTTTTATCTGTATTTTTCAACTTTGACCGTATACACTTTGTTTCGAAGTTCATATTGATGTGAATCTCGGGAAAGAACTATCTTACATGTTGAATGAGTAAAGTTTTTGAGTAGTTTGAAGTAGAGAATGTTCATGAACATTGGAATTGTGTCATTTGCCGTGAAATAATGAGGGTAGGACTACTTAATTTAAATTCTATTATTAAGGTACTTTTTAAGCAAGAGCATTCTAGTAGGTTAAAGAAAATAAGTGTAAACAAGGTGTGAGTGAACTCCGCCTGGAGTCCCTCCGAGAGCTTTTGCCGGTCCCAAGCACGGATAAAGGAGGAGGTTTGGACACGGAGTTAGCGACTCCATCCCGTAGAAAACTAACTCGCTAAAAAACGCTTACCAGGAAAAAGTATTCAAACCTTTTAAACTCTTCCCTGGGAGTCAGAAGGTCTTCGGAAGTAACGAGGCCGATGCCCCTTCTGACAACCAGAGCGACCATTTATTTAGGTACATGGAATACTCGTACAATGTGGGAGACCGGGACAGTCTTCCACATTGCTGCAGTAAAGTGTGAGTGGATAAACAACTGGCAAAAGAAGCTGAAAGTATGGGATTATGTATTCTTATAAAATATAGTACTGAAAACAGTATTCTGATGCCCAAATGGCTATCTCCCGCTTTGTCGAAGCTATTTGAACCCATTTTTGTAGGTTTCATATGGTCTTGAAGAGACTTCGTTTTTAGTGAATTGTCTAATTTTGATTGCAATAGGATTACTCGGTAGGAAAAGAAACCAACTCATCGTCACAAAGACGATTTGAAGAGTTATTTTCATAATAAACCAACATCAATACCATTGGTTCGTGACATCCCACGTGACCATAGGGAGCCGTAATTTGACAAAACGTCCTGCCCTACAGACATGAATTGATCGAAGTTATCTCTCTACCATCATGTTTGCTGGTTAGTAACGCCACCCCCTTTCTTTTGCTTGTTTTTATCTCACTGCAAAAGCGTTAGGACAATCTTTTACTTATTCAATGGAGAGCCAGGATATCGGTTCAGGGAATTAAATTCAAGTCTTTTAAAGAGCGCCTCCAATCGCTGAATTTCTACCCTTTTGAATACAGGAGTCTTAGAGGTGATCTTCTACTGACTTGCTGCATCCTAGACAGTTCTGGGCATTCTCTTGAACATCTACTACAACACCAGAACCTGGAAACATGACTGCAGAACGGACTGTAGGCATACGTTTTACTCCTCAAGTGTCGTGAAATTCAACATTTTGCTGCCACCTGAGATAGTCCAAGAGGCTTTTCAGGAGTCCTTTAGGCGAAAACATGACATATCCTCAGAGAATAAGAACAGTGTCTCGCTATAATGCACTATTTTTTCTCTCTTATCTCTAAATATACCCAGCTTCTTACATAGACGCATCGGAAACTCATTACTATTAGATACGAAAGCCCGTTAAGCAGAAGCTTCTTCTATTCCGTCCAAACCATTTTGACTATTCGGACGTTTGTCTTCAGGCAGTTATGCTATCAAGTAACTCGACCATATATACCCTGGAAAGTTTCAAAGAAGAAGAAGCACGGAAAACTCTGGATAGTCCGGGAATTTCGATGTTTAATAATACAAAAGAAGAGATGTTAGGACATTGTCATCAGCCTTGGCACAGCACGCACGGTGGAACCCTACAAGCCGGTAGGAAACAAGTGTATGATTAAAATTCAAGGAGCTCAGATAAAATATGAAATGCAGTTGGCCCAATCCGTAATCAAACAGACTAAGAGACTATTATCGTACATAAATTACAAAACAAGGATGCAGAATTGAATTCCCAACCTAATTAAGGGAGTAGATCCCAAATGATAGAGGATAATCAGGAAAAAGTTGAGGCTATGGCAAACTATTACGGGGCATTTTTTACTCAGGAGTCTCTTCTGGACAATGAACTAAACCCAAATACGAAATGAACAAATAGCCTGCTCACCGTAGACTTTGATCGAGATGATGTATTTATGGCTCTTAGCACATTGGACATGGGAAAGTCAACAAGGCCGGATGAACTGCATTCCGAAATCCTGAGAAAAATTGCACAATATACTGCAACCCCACTAACTGATATCCAATATGTTACTTGACCAAGGTGAAATCATTACTCCCATACATAAAACAGGACCAAGACAACTCCTATCGAACTACAGACCTGTCAGCCTCACCAGTGTCGTGGTTAAAATACTGTAAAAATAGTCAAAAAGACCATAATGACGTTTGTGGGAACCAACAACTCGTCAAACAGAGAACAACATGATTTCAGAAAGGGTTTATCTTACACAGCAAACCTCCTTACAGCAACGGATCAAGGGTTAAAGGTTCTAGACAACGAAAACTCAGTGGATATCGTCTACATCGATTCCAGTAAGGCACTTGACAATGTGGCAACAAATAGACTGCTATTGAAGCTAGAAAATATTAGCATCGACGGACCTCACTTAAAATAGATTAAGGATTTTTTAGTAGGTCGTGGACAGAAAGTAATAGTAAATTCGAATAAATTCACCTGGAACCAGTGCTTAGTGGAGTAACTCAAGGTTCTGTCCTAGATCCTTTACTTTTTATACTGCACGTAAATGAACTCCAAAGTATAGTACTGTCTTCAATGTTATTATACTCTGACGATGTAAAAGTCTGGCGAGTAATAACTGGAGACGCAGACGCATGTGTTCTTCAGGCAGACTTAAATAAACTGGTTGTCTTAAGAGTGGCTGATGGTTATTAACACGGTAAAGTGTGTCTGCATGCAATTTGGAGATACAAAGGTTAACAGATACAGTATACGGGAAGTGCCATTGCTGGGAGGTCGCAGCTAACTGGTTTAGGACCCTCTGGGCTTTAAGACGAACATTCACTGTGTTACATACTACAATGTTCACTACAATATACACAACCTTAGTGAAAACTAAGCTTGAAAGGTGAGTTCAGGCTACAAGCCTCTGTTTAAAAGGTTACTCACTTATCCTGAAAAAACGTACAGAGAGCAGCTACCCATGCAATTCCAGAACTCCGGGCGGCTTGAACAGCTTTATGAGGTGATCTGATTTTGATGCATGGAATAACAAGAAATGATTTTGGACGTAATATGTACTCTCTTTCCCATTTCTCTAGATCGGTACATCTTAAAAGACATAGAAGGCGAGCGTAAAAGGCAAGAACGAACAAAATACCCGTGGCTTACAGGTTCTCACGCCGAGTCATAAATTCTTGAAACCTGTTACACGAAGCACTTTCGATTGACTCATTTGAGAGAAAACCAGACACTTTCAGTAAAAAAGTAGAGAAGGAATAACATAGGCTGTATGCCTTTCGTCCTTACTACACAAACCTGAATCTGAAAATGTTGGCGTTTGAATGCGTTTAGTGAAGCTAAATTACCTAAACTTTGTGTTTGCTCTACCCGCGCTCTATGTCTTTCGCGTTTTCCTGTTTTCATGAGTGCTTTCCGATACTTTTCTGTCATTGAGGCGGAACATGTAATTTTTGCATAATATGACCATAAGAAATTTAGTTTACATTCGTGATATGTCAACTTTTCACGCTAATTTCAGGCTGTGTAATGCAGAAATGCATACCACCATGTACAGAAAATTCCAAGCGCCGTCACTTTTTTGAGTTTATCAGCGGATTTTTGATGATGTATCTTGTTTATGGACCGTAATTTCCTTTGAATGGTTTAATACTCTTAGTCTAGTTGTTCATATGCTTGCTCAAGCCATGCCGGCATACTTAATGATGGTTTTTCTTCCATCATCTGTTGCTCAGTATGGCATTTTAGTCTTCTCAATGGCATATTTATCTTCAGTACATATTCACAGATGTATGTATAACCCTCAACTTGATATCTCTGCGTATGTCGCTACTTTTGATAGATTGTTTCCAGGGCTCTGATGGTGCAAACTCAAAAGCTGTCTTCTTTGGCTTTTAACATCAATGATGGAGTAAAGTTGTCAAAGAAAGGAGTAGCTGACCAAGAATACCACAAGCTTCATGCCGTTGAGTGAGTCTACTGTCAAATTGGTTTTAATGCAGGTTGCAAATGAAAATGTCCTTTATTTTTGTGTATGCATCTTGGATTACTCAATAAGAAAGTCATCTAATTTCTTAGTCCTTCGGTCTACTAGGCAGAAAAAAGTTCGAATGTCAGCATATTTTCCACCATGAGACTTCAGTAACGATTCCACATCAAGTTGTGTATTTTTATAGTCGATATCTTTCTAGACACTTATAGTTTGTTTCTATTTATTTATTTTAACACATAGATATTGATACAACGAGGCACCAAATACATATGCGCCACACAGACCTCATTTCACATGTGCGAGGGCTGTGATACTGCCCGGGTGCCCAAACAGAAACGGGTGGTTTTCTTAGGAGGCCACACCAAGAGCCTTCGGCCTGTAGGTCTAATCTACAAGGCGGTGGAGCATCGTAAAGAGATGCAGTCCCGTGGTAGTCAATGACCAACAATAGGTTCATACGCCATTTGACCCCTCAGGATCCTGGAGCCCATGTGCACCAATGGTTTGGAATCAGATTTTTCCATACACTGTACAGATCCACCATATCCACCGACCCGGTTAACACACCAAACATTCGCTTTTCGTCCTCTCAATTTCGTAAACAACACCCACGAAAAGGCAGTACGTAAGACTTCTCTGTCAGAGGCTATATACGCGTGGCCATGTGAGAGCATTTCAAGAGGGTAAGCGGACTTTCCTTATTCTCGGCCGTACCAGGGCATTTGGAGGCCTTAACTTATCATTTTGTTACTCCTAACTTATAGACTGAATATATGTTGCCCATGATTTAACTGTGAAGTTTCGAGTTATGATAAATCCTACGAAAATCCATATTTAGGACTTTAGGCCCATCCAGTGTCTTTAGTATCTCATTTAGCATGGAACATGCAATTTTTCCTTCTTGGTTCCACGTATGATTAAAGATTGACTATGAAAATACGCATCTTATGGTTCAGTGTACTAATCAATACATTCGCTTTGTATACTGTTACTATTCGCTTCGCACGGTGTACAATACAAAGCATAAATAACTCACTTTGTACATTCTTGTACTGAGTCGTGGATTTTTATCGAGTGTGTCTTTCTAAACCAAAGTTTCACTGACATTAGAGTAGTTACAGTAAACATCCAAACACAGTCAATTTGCGCGAAACTTGTGTGTACTTTATTCGACCGCTTGACTGAACGTAATAGATATGTTTTTTGAAAGTATAAGTTATTGCGTCCTAAAGTTTATGTAAATAGTATGTACGATCCTTATTATTCGGTTTTCGTGATAAATTTCGGAAAATCAAGTCCAAATATAATCTATAGTGTCATTACTTTTTTTTTAAAGAATTTAGCAAGGGTGAAATATTATATATATATATATATATATAGTCATCTTTGCCTTTTTAGTTTCCGTAGACTGTTGGAAACAACATAGATTTGGTACATTAGATTTTCTGTAATTAAGCGTACTACTATCCACAAGTATGGGATAGTACGTTGATTTTAATGCAATAATTACATGTTGATTCAGTTTGTAACCATATAGTAATGGTTTGTGATAAAAGTAATTGTTTAATTCTTCAGAATTCAATATTTTTGCATTTTTTTGCATATTTTCTTAAGACGTCGACCTCGTCTTCTCCAGTTCGGTGGATATTTATTCTCATTTCATAATGTAATGATTGGCCCCTTCAGTTTTTTTGCTGATTATATGAGATTTATCCAGGGTCAAGAATCAGATCAGCTCCTCGATGAAACTGATAAAAAGCGATTCGTAAGTTCTACAAAGCGTAGTCGCCTTTTCATTTATGTTCATTTAGTTTAGTAATTGGAAATCTAATTAGCCGAAATCGATGTCCACTTTCTAAGTCTTTTAAAATTTGATACTCGCCGTAACAGTACGTTTTCAGCGCTTACAGTAAAGGTAATTACTATACATGTGGGTAATTAGTTGTCCTAATTTAAATTTCAAATGAAATATATTCTCCACTAACCGTTAGTTACTATGTAATTTATCTATGCCTTTTAGTCACATAGTAATCCATAGAAAAATCAATACTAAGCATTGCTGTTAGAGAATAGATTTTTATACTACTGTTAATAATCAAAAGTGTCGGACGTAAATATTGATATCCCCGGAGTAATTAGTTTACAGTTTTAAGAAATAGCAGTTGTATGAACTCGAGTTCTGTCAAGGTCGTAAGTAGGATGGTTCTTCAATGATCTGCAAGGAAAATGGGAGTAAGTAGTAGAGGCCGTGTCCACCTGGGAGCGTGTTTGCAGTACCTAAGGGATGGCTACTTGAGGTCATTGGTCCACGACGTTTTGTAAGTGGTTTCTGATATGCCAGATTCCGGAAAACCCCAAAAAGACTTATTTTCCAAACTGGAAATCCTGTGGAGAAAAGCAGTGTGTTGTTTTTAGTATCAATGTTTCATGTTTCCTCTCTTTTAAATTTTAGGAAGGTGACATCGACAGAATTTCCAGTTATTCTCGGGGAACATCTCACTACTTTCATTTCGCAGTTGTAATGGCAGTATACTGTTGCACTCGTTCCTCAAAGTAGCTGCTTGCTATCCAATTAATTTGCTCGGGATAGTGATGTTTGAGAAAATAAACAAATTTCATTGTTTAGTTTGTTCGAGGTCCATAAGATCGAACCGTAGGACAAGTGAGCAGTTGCATTGATATAATCCGAGTACTGGTTAGCTCTCTGAGGCTGTCTAGTACCAATGACCTTCGGCTAACTAATGATACGATAAATGTGAGATAAGAGCTCAGAGTAACACTAGGTGACTTATTGGTCCAGAATACAGTTTCCAACACTCCGATGACCTGAATAGAATACAATTCGACAAGTAGATAGCTTCTAATTGTGCAGTTCAAATTTATGAATCACTCACACTTATATAGAACAAAATCCCGAGCACATATCAACTAAATCAAGAAACTGAAATATTTTCACGAATGTCCCCTAAATGGAAGAGAATTAAGTGATAAGTCTGTGATAAATTAACAGTAACTTGCAGTATGTATGACACGCAATTATAGTTTGCGTGTCAAACAAAAGTTTGCAAGTACGGCAATACAAAAGTACAAGTTTAAGTATTTAATATTCATCAAAAAAATTATAAACCATAACTTCATATAGGATCGTTTAAAAGGTTCAATTTTGCCTAATATTTATGCTAGCGTAGCAGGCGGTCAAATATCAACGGATTAGCGTTCCAATCAATTTAGATCGATTAGATTATGTCAGCAGTCATTGCTGACCACCTCAAGGTAGCAACTATTGTTTGAAGTTTGTCGTGTATATCACTATTTGATTATTCCTACAATCAGTCATTTCAGTAAGCTATAACATAGAAATAAAAAGTAAAATGTGTTCAAATGTTTATACAGTACATTGAATGTTTACTATTGAAATGATAAATATCATTAAACAAGTTAACAGACATAAAGTATGATCGTGTGTGCAGTTACTAGTCTTCTATCGTATTTAAGTCATGTATAATCCGTAAAATATTTAATGTGTTGCCTAGAGATTCTCGAATTCTGTTTCTGCAAGATTTTTAGGGTTAAACTTGCTGACTATTAGTGTCCTAACGTTTTGTTGTGCTATTTTATTTGTAACACCTAATATGTATTTCTAAATTTAGGAGGATAACAAGGAGGCGATACGTTCCGCTAAAGTAAGTATGCGCAAAATGTTCCAGCTATTACTGTTTCATTGTAATTAAGTTATCATGAAAAAAGTATGTAGTACGGCACTGCTATTAATAGTAAAGTTGATTGTGAACATTTGTCTACTTTACATAGTTTTATTTGTTTCAACATGTCTACCGTATAATAGATTAATTTATGAAAAAATTAAGGCAACCCATTGTATCACTAAATAAAAATAGCAAGAATTCAGTAAAGAGAATTATCTTCTAGACGAAATCGTTTACTCAAACTGTACATTCGTGTCTATAGTTGTTTGCTAAATATGTGTCTTTAGGAAGATAAAAAGAGATTACATCAGATAGCAATGTGAAAATAATTTACTGGTTCGAATTATAAAAAATAGTTGTCCACTTGACATGTATGACGAAAAATGAAAAACTCTAAGGTCATAATAACAATTGGATGATAGTCATAAGAAAGTATTAGAGGATAGTAATAACCGATTGCGGTTTATGAATTGTACAAAATAGAAATCAAAACATAAACAAGACTAAAGCACACTGGAAAATGACATTAATGCTATAGAAGTATAAATGGTTGAAAATGTTACTTTTAAATAGAGTTCAAGCATCAGTTGGTGAATTGCCAGTGCCTCACCAGTACGTAAGTTCTTAATCCGACCTCCCTTTGATCTTATTCTTTCCATTATGTAGATTATTTTGAAGAAAGATTTGTTTGGGGCAACGTAGCCAAAGTTGATGAGGTGCTCCTGTATTAAACTATTCAGTGTTTTAAATCCCCCCCCTAAAAGTCATACCGAGTAATATCTTGCAATGTGTTTATAAAGGGTCGGTTTTGTGCAGCCTATGTGACCTGCTCCGCAAGAACAAGTAAGCTTCTAGATGAACATCGTTGTGACCCTAAACGAAAGTGTACTCTTAATACATCCATGAATAGTGGCCCGGGTTATGAAGACAATACGAAGCTCAGCTGAGTATAAAGTCTTCCTCAAGGATTTTAAAATTAATTTTCTATTGAACTGCCGTTGATCTTTCAATTTGTAGTTTTAGTGTTAAGTTTCTGTCAATAAATCTATCTGATTGACCACTCCTGATAAGTATTCGTCGAAACTGAAGCAGTTCGTCTATTGTTTAAAATTTTCTCTACGCTCTCGTTATTTTTACTTAACATGAAGTAAATAACAGTAGTTGATTCGTTCTATATGTCTTTAAACTCATTAAATCGATTTATTGTGCTAACTATTCGTTTCCTTCCTTATCAAACATTTCATGTCGATAGAATTCAATTATTGTTACGTACTAAACAATACATGATATTGGTTACTACTAAGTAGATAATTAATCACTTTACACATGCCAACTCTATATATGGTTAGTTTTACAGTCCGATTATTTCAGTGATTACATCTTCTAATGTGACTCATTGATGTAAGATTGAGTCTCATGAAAATTATTAGTTCTTTCAAGACTGCTGATACAACTTGCTTATAAGTGCCGAATAAACAGAAATTTATATCCAGAGCTTCTTACAGATTGTTCCCAGTCACTTGGGATAAAGTAAGAATAATCGTACAGAAGAATCAATGAATTAATGGAAATACATAAATAAGTAAACTCACAAACTTCGATTCCCGCATATATTAAATAGTGCAATTCATTCGCCAAATATAAGTATGTATACTCGGCTTTGAGTCGCACTTCTATGAAAGCTAATGATACTACTACTCAGTTTTCTAAACCAAAGTAGTTTGTGCACGGTTCAAATACGCTCTTTATTGATTGAAACTAAAGTAGACTAACCAATGATTTATCGCGTACAACAGAAATTCTAAAGAACATAATAAAAATTGCATTTTCCATAATAATGATGCCTAACTTGACAATATGCAGCGCACACCGATTTCCAGACTTTCCAAAGACAATCAAATCTATCTGTTGTACAGTGCGTCAGTATGCAAAGGTTCATAAATATATGTTCGAGCACAGTGACGATGATCCAGTTAGTGTCATCTTGAAATACTTGCTTCGGTGGCTTTAAAATATTTCACGAATTTCTTTCCAACAGCCCACTATGTATAGTATGTTATTTATAAGTGAAGCCCGGGTTTATTGAGCAGCGTTGCATTCTGTACTACTCTGTGGCTGTAAAATTAGAAGACGTGTAAGTTGGAGGCTTTTGGTCATATTTATCTTCAATACTTAAGCAAAATTGAGGTTGGGCACAGGGTACTAGACGAAGGTGGGTAGTCGGTTGGTGAGACTGAAAGTCTTTATGATTTGAGGTGCACTCAATACATGTTACGTATACCTAACCACTGATTGCCTAGTGCAATTTCGGTTTAAGAGTTTGAAGAGGGGTAGGCAGTCCGAACCACGACATGAAACCAACCCATAAAGTCACCGGCAGTTGAACAAAGACAGTGGTTGAGAACTTTGAATGAAATAGCAAAATATATTCATCCTCTCAATCATGAATTTCAGTATCCCTTCATACTTACATTTCCACTTTCTTTCCAAACCATATTACCAATGTTTAGTTTTTCTTCCTATCATCACCATTACATTATTTCGACCTCTTTTGCCATTGATCTTGCTATTTTCAATTCGTCTTGACAATGTGATATGGCAACATGGGCCAACGGACATTTGTGACAGACTACATTGATAATGACTGAGTGGTTAGTGTTGGCTGTTATGATAGCTCTTGTCCTAAAAAATCATATAAAACCGTGGTCTGGGTAATAACTGTATGATGCGATTTATTTAATGTCCAATATGTGAAAATTTACATTCTTTTTCTAATTAAAAAAATTACTTTTCCTTTCGTTCCTATTTTTCTTTAGGCAGAGAAATGGAAACAGGTGAAACTTCTACTACTTCATTCTATATTAGTCTTATGGTCCTTTCATAGTTTTAAACCCGAGGAATTTCTGTGTAAGCCACTTTCTAGTTCATATATATGTATCAATTTCGTTACATTATTGTTATAAATATTGTTTCCTGACGTCACTAATGATAAGTCCTTAACCTCCGTCATAACATTTTTGCATTTTGTTTTACGACTGATTCAGGTGATAATAAACAGTAAAATATTTTTCAATAGGTTGAAAATAGTTTTCCAATCATACTCCCTACACTAACTAGCTTAACACTTCGGAATATGTTGTACCTAAGCGTATCCAATACTTTTCATCATCATTTCAGTCAATAGAAATTCAGTACTTCATGAAACAGTGTACTATATCTAGTAACCTTGTAGCTTCACTATACATGAACAACAATGGTTTGAAGGTATTTATGGTGAAATAATGTAAATGACAGTCAGAAAAATTTAGTTCTCAGGAAGTTATTTGTTTAAGGAAAGTTAAGTCCATGCGAATTTATTCAAACAATCCCAATGTTTGTACAATCGTGTCACATTTCGTTGTGTTCTAATTTGTTTACATCCAGTTAATGTCACATATAGTCGATCCTAAAAGTGTGTAATCAAGTAACTGTGATGATAGATTTGAGTGACATTATGCATTTAATGAAACAGCAGAGTCCTTGAAGTATTTTCGCACTTGTCGTCTTGATTTTACATTACGATTGTGATTTATAGTTTTTCTATAAGTATTTTCTTTTCTTTTTACCCATCAGCTGAAAGTTTTGCAAAAAAGAATTACTTTCAAAAATTCATCTACCTGTCAATCGCGTGTTTTGGTTTCCGTCAAAAGTTCTATTTTGCTTGGACTCTTAGTAAGTATTATTAATTTTCACTTCACGGTGACTAGTGGACTTTGCTTAATTATTGTCTCGGTTTTTTTCTTATTTTACTTTGAGAGTTGGGTGTGTAACTTTGATACTGTATTTTAAACATTAGATTAATTTTCCAGTTATGAACTTTTGGACCAAAGAAATAGGTACTTCTGAAGCTTTATTTGCCTACGTCCATTAGATAGGTATGTTGGTGTTGTTTTCTCTGGCCTAGAAAGTTAAATTGCTGGGCTTTCATTGTTATTCTGAACAAAATCATCAGTGTCTACTTCATGTGAAAGTGAGCTTTCCAGTTTTTTTTTATAACCTATATGTAAGAAGTCAACCAATCAAGCCAGTCACCATAAAAGGGAAAACAAATGAAGACAGCGAAATTTATTAAAATAATTGATCAGGAACAAATGTTCCAGAAAGAACTGATATTACACATAATTGGTAGTTAATTTTATCCAGAACTACAATGAAAGCTCCGTAATTAAACAGTCTCACTCAGAGAACACCATACAAACAATAGCGTTCACTTGAGCTTCATACATTACCTCAAGATAGATATGTATTTTGATGTTAAATGGTTAGATGAAGTCAACATAACTAAACCTTAGGCATATTTGTCATTTGAATCTCACGTTTTGAACATCACTCCTCTCAATATTGCAGACGTGTCTTGCTGAAGAGTCGCAAATCACACGGACCCTGCCGATTGTCTTCAACCCATTGATATCAAAATATAGTGTACGCGATATCGCAACGCTAATACTTATAAACCTTACTGCAATTTGATCGACAGGACTCCACTTTCACTAGACAAGCTTAACGTTAGCTATTGCTGGTCAGTGACCAATCATCAATGATATATTTTATTATTATGAGCTGGTACGATTCAGTTGTCATAGTTTCAACTCTTGACTGATGCTATAGTTTAGAACACAATTATGAATCGATTAAATTTCTATTTACTCAGGATCTGAGATCTAGAGTAGAACTTCGTGGGGTTCATATGATTCTTCCTAATATATACTTTGTTAAATGCATCCAGTTGTATTTCTGCTGTTTAATATTACTACTTGATTGAGCTCCCAAATACCCTGGTACGGTTGAGGGTAGAGAGAGTCAGCTCTCTGGAAATGCTCTCACATGGCCTCACATATACAGCCACTATCAGGGAAGTCCTACTCATTGTCTTCTCTCGGCGTTACTGTTGTTTACGAAATTGAGAGGACGAAAAGTGAATGTCCGGTGCTTTAATCGGGCTGGTGGATACGGAGGGTCCATCTAGGTTATTTGGAAAACCCTGATTCCGAACCGATGATGCATATAGACTCCGGGACCTTGAGAGAACAAATGGCGTATGAATCTAATGTTGGTCACCGGCTACCATGAGACTGCGCCCCTAACGTTGCTCCATTGCCTTGTGGATTAGATCTTTAGGTCGAAGCCTCCGGGCGTGGTCCCCAAAGAAAACAACCTGCCTCGGTTTGGGCACCCGGACAGTATCACATCCCTCACACAAATGAGTGGTAACTACTACTGGCCTCATCGTTATTGTGTGGTGCATATGTGTTTGGTGCCCCCTTGTACCAATGTTTATATGTTCAAATAAATAAATTAAACTACTTGATTCCAACTTACTTTTGAATCAGTTATGGACGTATCAATAACATTATGTGAATTACCTAGACTTGATGCATCTGTATGACGAGTGATATATATACTTATTTGTTTATCTCCTGATTAGGTTGTCTATCAAATTTAGTCGCAGGTTTTGGATTTTCTGGATTTAATAGTGAAGGCGAACCGGAATATCGTCTGGCTACTAATATTTACTTTTTGCCTATTGAGGTAAGGATATTCCTTGTTTTGTTAGATATTTACATATTCTGTCAATAAATAAGTGTTTAGTAGGCAAAACGGTTCTGATTATGAAAGATGAACAGTACAATTTACGTGAATCGAATCTATGAAATTCTATGAATAGTTCATTCGAGTTTACAGGACGATGAATGTTATAAAGAAACTTAAAATATTTTATATCAAATGCGAGATAATTATCACCAATGAAAATGAAATATAATCTTAGATCATCGTGGACAAATCCAAGTTTGTGTATGTGTTTAGATTATGATCCGTTGAATATCAACATAGCGGTGGTGGTCTCAAAGTGTAATTAATGTATTCACCACAAAATCTTAGTGTCAAATGTACACACTACTGAGAAATCTATTACTAGTATGTGTAAAACGACCACCCGATGCTCTATAGTTTTCAAAGATTATCTAATTATTTTAACATCAACAATACTTGATTATTAAGATCCGTCACGTTCTTATATGAATCGATACCGTACAGGCGATGTTTTCTAGTGCAGGAGTAGTATGGAAGAAGGCTTGAGGCGGCCAAACTAAAACATGACATCAATCCATGAAGTCACAGACAATTGGAATTGACCATGTAAATAAGTATAGACTACTTGATTGGGTTCCGCGTGATTATTGTAACCAGTGTTTAGAGACTTTGAATGAAATGGCTAAAATCGTTTAGAATAGAGCAGGTGCATCCATTTTTTGTCTTCTCGTAAATCCTGAGGTTGTAAATTCCTTATAATTTTTTCTGTTTTTATTTCACTAATTTAAATACTATTTTCAAGTCTTGTATTCAATGCCTAGTGTTTTCTAATACCACTGATACTGTTAGTTGTCTACCATTCTGTGATTTGGTTTGACAATTTCATCTTGGTGTGCTAACGGGTGTGGCGATTTGAAACGATGTACATACGTACAAGTTCTACGTTGTGATTGACTGACTGAAGTGGAATTTGGATCGCACCAGTAAATAATCTTCAGGTCACGGTTTCTTCGAAAAATAGATCAATAAGATATGGATAAAAATTCTTTCCTTTATTTTTTTTACTGTATAGGTTTTCAGTCGTTTCTTGTTCTTGGATTTTACTTATTTACAAAATGCATCTAATTTCTAACGATTAAGAAGTAAACGCAACTGTGTGATCATCATTTACCCATTTTTGTACTACTATTAATAGGATCAACTAATGACATTATTTATTTATTATTTTATTTATTTGAACACATAAATATTGGTATAAGAGAGCGCCAATACACATGCGCCACACAAAACAATGAGAATTTAAGGGGAAGGAAAAAAAGAAGAAAACAAAAATAATAACAAAGAGACTGATGTAAGGTGGTGTAATAATAACAATGGTAAAAATGGGGGAACGGAACGGTACAATCCGAAAAAATCTTTCAGTTAAGGAAGACTCAACCACTTTTTATGAAGAAAGTAAAAGAAGGTTACAGCAGGATCGCCATTGGCTTCTATTCTGAGCCATATCTGATAACGTCTCTAGCCACTGTGTAGCACCATCTCTCGGACCCCAACCAGGGAGCCGTGAAGGACCAACACAAGCCAGTCCTTTGCAGCTTTCTTTCATGCCACGACACCATGTCATGCACTGACCACCTCTCCGCTTCTTCCAACCAGTCCCAGAGTCTGCAAATAATGCACGACGTGGAATTCTCTGGGACGACATTCGTAGAACATGTCGAAGCCACCGAAGTCGGTGTTTCAAGATGGTGACGTCGATTGCATTATCATCTCTGTGCCCGAACACACGATGCCGAACCTCTGCATTACTGACATGATGTTGCCACTGAATGTCGGCAATCCTTCGGAGACAGCGATGATCGAACACAGAGAGTCGTCTAACGTCCTCAACTCGGAGAGACCAGGTTTGACAAGCATAGAGCAAAACTGCTCTCACTGACGCGTTGTAGATCCGACCTTTTACAGCCAGACTAACATCACGAAGGCGCCAAAGGTGGCCCAGATTGGCATAAGCCGCTCTGGCTTTCACTATACGTGCATTTATCTCATCACTAACGCCACCACCAGCACTTATGCAGCTACCCAGATACACGAACTTCTCGACTACTATCAGCTCACCATCCAGGGTGAGTACATTATTAGAATCCTGCCAGTCTTGTAGAAGTACTTTGCACTTCGAAGGTGCAAAGCTCATACCATACCTACGGACACTGATGACATTATGACAATAAAAAGTTTTCTATGTAGTCAGTCTATTGGTTAATTGTCTTATTGTAATGTAGTTAAGAATACACTACCTAATCACTCGTTTCATGCTGATTAGTAGATATGTGATATTCAGTATTTCATTAAAAATCATTATTATTATCATTATCCTTTATAATTATCACTGATTATAAGTGTAACTATTTATTGCTTAACTATTAGTTTGGTTAAAAATAGGGAAAATTGACACAATCATTTGCTAATACCCCAACAATATTATTATTACCATTTTTATTACATTTTGTCACCATAATCACAATAGTTTTGTGAGAATTGTGTACAATTGAAAATGCCCTGGTACGGCTAAGAGTGAGGAGAGTCAGCTCTCCCACTCGAAATGCTCTCACATGGCCACAATTATACAACCATTGCCAGGGAAGTCCTACTCACTGCCTTCCCGTTGCGGGGGTGTTGTCTACGAAATTGAGAGGACGAAAAGCGAATGTTCGGTGCTTTAACCGGGTCGGTGGACATAGAGGACCTGAACAGGGGAGTTGGAAAACCCTGATTTCACACAAATAGTGCACATGGGCTCCAGGATCCTGAGGGAACAAATGGCGTATGAACCTATTGTTGGTCACTGACTACTATGTGACTGCGTCACCTGACGTTGCTTCACTGTCTTGTGGATCAGACTTTTAGGTCAAAGGCTCTGGGTGTGGCCCTCTAAGAAAACCACCTGCTTCGGTTTGGGCACCCGGGCAGTATCACAGCCACCACACATATCAAATGAGATCTGTGTGGCGCATATGTATTTGGTGCCTCCTTGTACCAATGTTTATGTATTTAAATAATTAAAAGTAAAACAATTGTAAAGGAATTTTTTCTCATCACAATAATTTGCTACAACTATTTGATTCTTATTAAGCGAGTTAAATATTTCTGGTGAATTTGTGTTCTTTAAGTTGGATAGTTTAGGTCAGTAGCTTTTCTTGTCTTTCTAGACAATATCATCGAAACAAATTTCAGACAGAAATGATCTGTAAGAATTTCTTCATGTATAACTGGTTGTTTGTTTTGTTAACCTTCAATTTTATGAGTATTTTGCTTGAATCTTTATTTTGACTGTCTTCTCGTTTTGATCATCATAATTTAATTTAAACTTGTTGTGTTTACCATGAGGTGTATAGATCTTTCCTTTAACCTTATATGGTGTTACATTGTAGGTGCACACTTCTGTGAAGTCTTAATTTAGCGAAGAGCACCTATTCAGTGCTTACGTAATTTTAGCTACTCTTCTGGTAATATCAATTCACGTTTAAAAGTACTTTCAAATCATTGTTGAAATATGCTTCACTTTACGTGCCACTATTGTTTCTCTTTCTAGAACTTATTTTATTGATTATTGTGTATTAAAACAGTTTATGTATTTGATTATGAGAAAATGATTATCTATATTTTCTTAAGCTTGGTACAAGTACAAAAACAATCATAGATTCTTGGAATACAGCAACAACACGTTGGTTACGTGAATGTATATATGATCGTGTACCAAAACGTTATGCTGTTTGGGCAGTTTTCGTTGCATCAGCCATGTGGCATGGTTTCTATCCAGGTTATTATCTAGTTTTTGTATCTGCAGCTCTAATCACAGTGACAGGAAGGTTAGTTTAAGCTTTTTTTGAAGTGGTAACGAAGAGTTTACTTGTTATATTCGATTTAATTTCATATTGACCTCGTTTTTATTGTGAAACTCTAAGAATTGCAAAGCTAATATTTTCTCTAGTTTGACACTCATTAGTGTGCTCTCTCTATTTCATACATACGGAGCATAACTAAAGTGTTTTCTGGTCACACAACATTGATTTCATGTCATAGAGTTATCGGTTCTGTCTCACTTGATGGTTCTATCTATCATTTGTACCTTACGTTTTACCAGATATAATATTTTTTTGTAAAAAATTACTTATAAATGTGTTCACCCTTTTGGTTTGAATATACATTCATATTTTCATACTAAAACCATCTTGGTTGTGTATTATTGCAACTCCAACTGATCTTTTTCCTCTCTAGGTGGATATCTTTTTTTCAAATAAATACAAAAGTATTCCTATCAAACCTTTTTGAGACTTAAACAGAGAATCTTGACGAACTCTCTCTCTCTATATATATATATGAAGATATGTTTCACAGTTAAACTTCTTATGTTTATTGAGTAATAGTAGTAGTCATTTTATTCAAAACCATAATTTTAATTGTATCGAAGAATTTTCAATGCAGATATGTTATATTACAGCGAAATTTCATTTTAATATCCATTTAACCTATTATTATTCGAATTATATGTATGAAAAATCATGTCCTTCATGCAATATCAAACGTTTCTAACCATTTTCACTCTAATGATTTGTTTTTTTTCCGTTGCGTAATATATTTGATGCATGAATTCCAATTCAAGGACTTTTTGAGAAGAAAAATGCATCAACGATCATGATAATTCAACTTGAATTTATCAGTATTTATCTGTATTAAATTAGGAAGTTTCGATCAAAACATTTGTCTATATATTAGGCGGTTAACATGAACTATTAGTCAATTAAAATGAATCGAAAACCGGAAAATTTGTAACATTTACAAAGTTAGGAAATAATCGAGCTGGAAGTTTAAGGAAGTTGCACGTAAAACTACTATGATTATCCCCGTTCGACAGTGTACCATCATAAGTGTACTGCCTACAAAGAACAGGATAGAAATTAAGAATACAAAAGTTATTTGGTCTCGAAATGATACAAATTAATAAAAGTGATATGTATATGTATATACATAATCATGTTTGATCAACATTTGTCAGATTTCACAGTTATCTAATTGTAAAGTAAAAATACCAACTAACACTTTGCATATGAAGATCACTTTCTTATCTCCCAGTCAGATAGCTTTAAATGATCATGCTTGCCAAATTAAAACTAGTATGTATTTGTGTAGGAGACAAGTTGAAGCATCATTTGTAACTATTTGTTTATTCACTGGAAAGCAATATTTATAGTGTAGTGACTGATAATAATTAGTCGTAAATATCAACTACAGGAGAACACAAACTACGACAAATATAATAATATAAATCATAATTGTTTAACTAGTGGACGATGTTTTGAATAGAGCCCTCTGATATTTAAAGCAGTAGATAGTTGGTTCAAGTTTCAATATGCCTATCATATCAACAATAGATTGTAATTACATTCAACTGATGAGTTCTAAACTGGATAAAAATGGGCTTCTTCAATTTTCTCTTTCACTTTCTTGTATTTTACACTACCCATAACCTAACGCTTCAATAAAATGTTAGTGCATGGAAAAAGGTAACTATTGTTTTGAAACTTTTTTTTTCCAATTGTAAGACTGTACTTGAAAATATACTTATCAATATACTTACCAAAATGTGTGTTTGTCTTGTTCATTTTGAATATCCTTCTTATATTTTTTTTCTTCTGATCACAGTTGAGAATAGCATGTGATACATTGAGAATAAGATCAATTCATCGTTTTATTATTTTTCTTAACTGCAAATCGACTAGATTGACATACTTGAATTTGATAAGGTTTTAATGTGAGTGTAAAAATTGTTGAGATGAATGCATAATTTGTATGTGTTGAGAAGTTAGCTTTGTACACTCAAAATGGGTGGTTTCAAAAGTAAATGAATGATACTACTAATAACAAAATGAATTATTACATAATAGAATAGTAAGATCATTGATTTCATCTATATTAAAATTCATTCTTCTAGTACATTTATTTATAACAGAGCTTTCCTTCTAAATATTTATAGGTTATGTTAGAAACATGTGATAATTATAGCTTTTATCAAGTAAACTTTTTATGTGTATTATGTTGAATACATTCAATACTATTTACTCAACAAATCCCTGTCAGACCGCATTTGTAATCATTTTGACTTTTTCGAAGAATGTACCAAGTAAACTTTGTAGAAACATTTTATAAGACCGTCTCTTTCTTTTTCCTTCTGTGATTCTCACGATATGCTTACCATGTGATTTAAAAGTTCTTAGCTAAATTCCTCTTAAGGTCATGGTTGCACATTGTTAACAAATTCCAGATTAGAGTTACATAAGTGTTTAGTTTTTGATCTGTGTTAGTCCTTCGGCTGATATTTATCCTTGACAAAATTAGGAAGGAGAACGATACTTTTGATAAGTGTACCTATTTACAATTTTTTTAATGTTTTCTGCCTCTACACCTTCCTTGAGAGGTTGAATAGGGATAGTGGTTAATTACTGATAGAAGTATGTTGTTTCTAGTTTTCGATAAAATGGATAAAATTGTAGTACATTTGATATTATTGCATAAAAATAACCCTAGAACAAACATTTCTTGTGGCTGTTTTTGTTAAATTCTAATGTTGGCACATTCTGTATTATGGTGTTTCACACAAACTTTATTTGTTCATACTTCTATGGAACTCGCTATTAGTTCCGTCTACTAGGTGGTAGAAAGCAGTTCTTTTGCAGCCATAACCAACAGTCATACTAGTAGCAGTAGTGAACAATTTCAGCAAGAAACAGTTTAGTATTCAGAAAATATTGATTGTCCTTACTATGAACCTTCATCGACTAAGGGTTTTACAACATATGTTGCGTGAACCTGGCCAAACTTTGGTGGAGTTTCGTTCTCTGAGCTCAGTGGTTTAGTCGTGAAGCTTTCAGTGTTCTTCCGAAAAACATGAGAAAAAAATTAGGTAGAAGTAAGCTACAAATCTATTATTTCAATATCAATATGAGTGTACTTGATCACAACCTAACCCGACTTACAAATGTGACTGGTATTATAATAGATTTAAAACAGACCAGTAACAAACAGTTGACGAAATAGCATAAATTACTGAAGTCATCCACTGCTAATATGAATAGTTGTAGACTCTCTGATTTCGGCCTCCACAATAACTGTAATCAGTTATTAGGAATGTTTTGTAATATGTTGGAAAATCGATCGCAGGAGTACAGTTGAAATCACTCTTTAATCTTTATATCTTGAGTATTGCGTTATTTCTAATCTTCTTGCTCCTTTCGAATTATGTTTCTTATGTTTAGGTTTCGATTACAGTTGGAATTAATTATTTTCCTTTACCTCTCATCTTGTTAATTTTCCGTCGTGATGTGCTGATATAAGATGTGGAAACCCAAACCGATGCGTATTCGTTTCAGTTCCTACATTAGTAACTGACATTTCAAATTTTGTAGACTTTTGTTATAGTTATCCTGTCATCTCAATCACTTTCTTTCATTCGATAATACCAGTCTCAGTACCTTAAATGAGCTCATCCTTTAGTTCCCTCGAGATCGTGTGTCATAATATTATTTCACGCCTATCACTCCTAATTTCCATTTGTGCTTTTTGAACTGTGATTTTCATGTTTAGTTTCCCGTTTCTATTTGTTCGCGTTATATTTTGCAATTCACCTCTGGATGTGTTGATCTGATATATGAATACTTATTTTGAATCACGTTTGTAACTTCTTTATGACCGAGTGACTGTATAGTAATGTTTGACTGGTCATGTTCGCTGTTACAGTAATGAATTAGTTAGAACGTTATTTTTCAATTGACGATATCAGTGGGGTCGTGGATGTGCGCTGAAGAGGAGTCCCATACAAAGTCGAAACAACTGCCCAGTGCTTCCTGGTTTCCGATAGTTGTTCAACTGAGATCAGTTCGTCGTCGCATTAAATTTATGATAATTGATTTTTCCCTCTTGTTGTTATGACCTTGATCTGTCTACTCTAGATTAAGACCTTGACGCAATAGGCCGATCGGTTTAACCTTGAGGCTAGTACGCGTGAGTTCGAGGTGGGGTAGAGAGAGGAAAACCATTCTAGCACCAGATTGGCTGGCAAGCACGCGAATGAGAGAAGACAAGACAGTTGGAACACTATTGGCTGTATTGCGATATCCTGATTTCCCGTGAAATCTCTGAATTCAGATTAGTGCAAAAAGGTACATGAATAAATAGGTGATTTAGCTGACCACAACGTACAATAATTTGGAAAAATACAATTATTATCAGAAGGGGTTTGTGGAGATAATAATCATCTGCTCACTAGTGACTGACTTCAAGAGATACTCCTAGAGTTCTAGTGGGAAGCCGTTACCAGTGGAGTTCAACCAGGTCTGTTGTGAGATATTAGCTCACTGAAGACAATGGTATACGGTGGTGCAACTTCGTGGATTGGTTGAAGTTAGACATTAACACTGTTGGATGCCGGCTCAGTGGTCTAATGGTTAGGTGCTCGCGCGAAACCAGTAGGTCCTGGGTTCGGATCCCGCGGGACCGTGGAGGCGCACTGTTGAGGAGTCCCATACTAGGACGAAATGGTCGTCCAGTGCTTCCAGGCTTTTCATGGTGGTCTAGCTTCAACTGATTCATGATTTCAATCTGTGAAAATACAATTATGTCCAAAACTCGGAATTAGGATAGAAAATAAGGTGCAAAATATTGTTTAGATTATAATAGCTTCGGAACAAAAAGGGGTATGACAATGAATGACACACCGAACGAGAGCTCATGTTCTGTAGAATAAAACAGGGACAAAAATAAATGTCAGTATTTTACAAGCTTTGAATAAAATGAAATGACGTCCCGAAAAATAGCTTTCGTAATTTGTCAGGGTTTCTTGTCTCCCTGTCCACATCACTTGTGATTTGGTTTTTAAAAAATTAGCTGATTTTAATAATCATATATATTCATCACGGATTTACTTCAGTTCGGATACTATCCGAAACCATGTAGTGATATACATGGCTGTTTCGTCCTAGTATGAGTATCTTGAATTACGTTCATAATCCAAACTCTAAACTTTTAGATCTAGCTGTTGGTACTTAACTTCTGAACTGCCAAATTAAAATCCACTGTTTCACGTTTCCAACTTTAATCACTTCATAAGGTTAGTGTGGAGAAACATTATAAGAAGTCGTGATTTTTAGTTTTGGAAAATATTGGATGTGAAACAGTTGCCATCAATGACATTCGATGATTGGTGCATTATATCCGTGAAAAGATCGAAGTTACAATTAGACACTGATCCATTGGTTTTACTGGTTACATGTTTGTCATCAGATCCTGAGTTCGATCCACAGTCAAATCATAGATGCATTCTGCTAAAAAGCTTTTCACTAAGATGAAATAGCTATCTACTATTTTATAATTTTCAATAGTACCTCATAATCGAAATCAATCTATGACAGATTCAATCTACAGTTGTGTATATATGCTTAATGTTTTATCTAGTTTGTTTCCTCTTTTATTTATCCTTTATTCTCTAATGGTTATTCTCTTCTATTTTTTTTATCGAGTGATTTTTCTTATAAGGTCATTCATTGATTAAATTAAAAAAAGGAGAAAGAATAAACATCATGTGATAATGATAACCTATAAAGAGAAATATTTTCTGTTTAGTGTAAATTATCTTTGGTATTACCAGCATAGTGATCATAGTGATTATCATGATTTTTTTCTAAAAAAAAATTAGTAATTTTTATTGATTGATTGATTTTTTAATGAACTTCTACTCTCTATTAATTATATATATATAAGATATTATACGAAATTATATAACACTTATTTTTCATATTACAATATACATGTACCTAGCTTAACAATATAAGTTCATATAATCTGTATTTCTATATTGTTAGCGTATTGTTTGTTCTATGATGTAAGTCTTCCAACTCTGTACGGTTGAAAAGGCTATCAATAATCTCAAGCAAAACAGGGCCTAATAGACTAATCGTTGAAATTTTTAAGCATGGTTGTCCAGTTTTAGTAGATAAATTTACTGAAATTTTGCCTGAATCTGGGGACTAGACATACACCCCCCGCCATCTGACTGGTCTCAGTGGTTGCTGATCGCTCCAGTTTATAAGAAAGGACAAAACTCACCTTGTGACAGTCACAGAGAAATCAGTTTAACTAATTTAGTGTCTAAAATGTTAACCTTAATAATGCTTCGATATCTAACTAGAGCTCTTGAAGAGCAAGGCCGAGAGATCCAGGTTGGTTTCAGACCTGGAAGTATATGTATAGACCAACTATACACCCTTTGACAGATTCTGGAACACAGAAATACTTTTCGACGTCCAATTATAGCTGTATTCCTTGATCTAAATGTTGTGTTCGACTCCGTTGATCATGAGGTTCTATGGCAGTATCTGTCATTGAAAGGTGTACCAAAGAATTACATTAACCTTGCACAGACACCCTACTCAAACTACTGGTCGAGTCAGAGCTTAATGGCGAACTGTCATCAAAATTGGTTACTTCAAGTGGTGTTCTTCAAGGTTACCCTCTTTCTCCATTTTTATTTAACACTGTCATAGACATGCTTTTAGTGATAACACTTTCATCGTCTGACTTTTCAGGGCTTGATCTTCTACCAGGAGATTCACTTTCTGACCTGAAATACGCAGATGATATAGTTCTGTTTTGTGAAGACGCTGACAAAATTCAGACCTTAAACAACAATCCAAGCATGATGGGAGTGCATCTCTCTGCAAATGTAAAATGCTACTTCGGGAGTGGTTTACTTCATCGCCTGAATTAGTGATAAGGTGTTAAGTAGTTGAACGCATTGAACGCTTTACTGATCTCGGTGGTCTCATCAGTCGTGAAAGTCTGGTGTCTGACGAAATCTCAGCACGAATTCAGTAGACTCAATTGGTTTTTGCCAACTTGCATCACTTGGAGTGTAAGCGAGATATCTGTCAGTTCGCTCCGTCCTATTTTACGAGTGTAAAACATGACCAATAAAAATAGAAGATATTCGAATGTTACTGGTGTTTGATCATAAATGTCTAAGATTGTAAATTCCTCATAATTTTTAAAAATTTTATTTCACTAATATGTATACTTTTTTTCAAGTTGTGTATTCAATGCCTAATGTTTTCTATTACCACTGATACTGTTAGTATGTCTACTATTCTGTGATTTGGTTTGACAATTTCATCTCGGTGTGCTAACGGGTGTGGTGATTTGAAACGATGTACATACGTACAAGTTCTACGTTGTGATTGACTGACTTAAATTCTATGGTGAATAGTGTGGTCGATAAATATCCAACTTTTTGAAATCGAATAAATAGTTTACTCATAAAACTATATTGCATTTGCTGACCAAATAGATCCTAGAAAATCATAACATTTGTCAGTTAACTGAATGGGAGGGAATGAATCAATAACATAAAAATACAATCATGCATTCAACAAAAATTACATGATTGTGAATCGATTTGGCTGTAACAGAAAAAATATTCACAAAATAACTACATTGGCTATTCTTCTAGTTTGTTGTATTATTAAGTAATCTGGACTGAACAAACATAATACACCCAATAAAGAATTGTATATTCAACGGATTTCTATCAAAGCATTAAAAAAGTTATACTCATCAATTATTTCTTTGTACTTAAATATAGAATACCTTCAAACATGCATTCGTTCTTTTTGGTCTATCAATTCGAAACATTGTGGTCATGCTGTTTAGGCAACCAATAGTCTATAATCATTTATGAATATTGTGTTCGATATATTCGCTATGGCATGTTTTGTTCGTTAGTAGGGTCTCCAACTTTTTTTATTTCAAATTGAGCTGTTGCTGAGGTGAATAACTGCGGATAGGGGCTTCAAAGTAATGGTTACGTGTTAGTTCAGTAAGATCTAGGTTTTGTTAATATAATATCGAATCATGCAACTTCAGATTCAAACTCATCTCAAGTTGTTCAACAAGTTTGACCTAATAGTATCGTACATTCCTGTCACACTGGGTGTGTCATAACGCTCAGTTTCCCGTCTACAAAAAAGGGGCGCTAATTTGCCCTGGATCAATATCTGCACTAAATGCACTCCCAGTGTCTATTCTACAAGACGTCAACACAACTCAGGTCAAAGCACGTGATTAGCCTGACTAGAACCTGAGTATATTTCCACACCAAAACCCGACAACAATCACAATAATAATATGGGTAGGGGAATATATGACTTATCTAACACTTGTGGGACTACCTGCTAATCTGATGAAGCAAACAACCAATCATTATCTTCCTTGCCTATTCATTAGGATATTACTCATAACTAAGTTTCCAAAGTAATACACAGTTTGAATACTACTTCACTCTAATGGTTGTGCTATGCGAATACAGTAACGCATGTGTTATCTGCCACTGCTGTCTCTTATACCTTGACCTTTCTTAAATTCTAACACGAAACAACTTTTACCCTCTGGCTTTTCAGTGGTTGATCTTCTACCAGAATATTTACTTATTACTGATTTATAATATTCAGGTAAAATTCCATTCAACGAACTAATTGACGAATTGACATTACAAAATTTTCTAACTTCCAAATTATTTCATAAATTGACCATTTAAACAAAAATGTATTGTGTTTTCTTTTTCAAAATAAAATTTATGTAGAGTTTGTCGAAAACATCTCCGGCCGTATTTTCTTCGTTCATCCGGATTACATTGTTTCTATAATGTACTAACTAATTTAGGCGCTATGTTATGCTTAAATTATTTGGGTGTACCGTTTCTTCTATTGACTACTGATAAAGTTTTGCATTTTTGGAGGTTAGTTAAATTATGTATATATAGATAAAAGTCGATATTGTTATTGTCGTTGGAATTTCATTTGTAATTTTACCACGTATTGTTATATGCAGCTGATGTTTTAATTCATTCGATTTTGAAATGTTGAGCATTTCCTAGCTCAAGTGGAGATTTTTATTTTGTTCCGCCATTAGATTTCTATATACTTACTTCCTATACGTAACCGTGACCTGGTATGTGACTGAAAAGATTAAAAGTGGAGTGGGAGTTTTGTTAGTACATAAAGTTCAAGTATTCATGTATATTCAAATAAACAATGAATAATTATTTATGCTCATGATTCGAGACTCTTATTATCAACTGAGGTTACGCAATAATTATGGGGTACGGAAGGAAATACAAGGATGAAAATAATTAACGGGTCAGATTACATTGGTTGCACAAAGTGATCACTTTTCAAACCTATCTGAGAACACTATCTGGCTTTACTAGTTCTATACAGAAGCATTTAGTCAACTGTGGACACATCGCTCCAAAGGAGTCTTTTTTTAAAGTAATCTATACAATCAAATGAATTGGATCAAAGGGATGTCGAATCAATATTTTATGTACTACTGAGGCATTGGCAATTCACCAGCTCAAGTTGTTATAACTTGTGGCCTGTGTGTCCTGTTAATGTATAACGTAACAATACCGCCAATTAAAGAGCAGTTATTTCAAGCATACTGTGTTTATATACCAACGAGATAGACCACATCGTACCGTAAAATAGGAAACAACATTCGTACAAGATTTAGCGAAATGTGGCTGTGAATGTGGGAGATAGTAGTTAATAGACAGGGCATAATTCGAGAATGCTAAATCGTATAATAACAGTTCATAGGTCAAAATAAGACTCATAATAAGGGGGACATAAATGTGAACAGTTTAGTTAATTAACAATTATACGATAACAATATACGTATAGTATTAGTCCATAAATGGATCTCAAAAGTTACTATTCATTATGCTTATCGGGACATAACACAATCACTTGATTTACTTTTGGATTTCGATCTTTAACATTCGATAAATCAAACGATTAAGCATTAGTTTCAATATTGTTATTATTTATCACTAATGTTGTATATTTTTCATAACATAAAAGTGATTCTATTCTATTAGTACATTAATTAGATATTAATGATCGTAGAGTATACACTACTAATGTTTCTTCTCTTCTCTTTTCTCTACTGTTCTTTTTTTTTTTTAATTCTTCAGACAAATGCACTTTATTGGACATATTGGACCATTGGCTTTAATTATTGGCGTTCCTTTATTATGTGGTAAACCAGGAGAAATATAGGGATATATACTAATGATAATATAACATGGATTTTTTTTAAAAAAAAAATAAAATTTGTTAATAAATCTTCGTCATATATTCACAAATGTACTTGGTAATAATAGAGGAAAAGTAAGGATGAGCCGATGATATCGGCTGATGAATCATATTTTCTTTTCTTTTTTTTTCAATGTTATTACTATTCCGTGTTTATGAAGAACAAATACAGGTTATTTGTTTGTCTATTATATTTGTATTTTTACTTACAGCAATTCCGTTTAAGTCTCAACATATACGTTACTTTATTGTTAATGATAATAATAATAATACGATTTTCCGTACTATTTATTATTATTAATAACAAACAGAATAAGACCCTTCATGCATATGAACACACACATACATGTGCGTTTTGTCAGCCAATATTCTTCATATCATACTACATTTACTCTATTCTCATTAGTATTAATAATGGCGTTGTTATTTTATTATCCCCAGCTTTTTACAACTGACCTCAAAAGTATGTTTTCTTGTTTGGTTTTATTTTTTTGTTCTTCATTATTCATTGTCCACAATGTATGTTTATTATTTTGTTACTACTTATATCTGTTTAAGTTGTAAAAGAGCGTATATATATATATATATATATATATATATATATATATATATATATGTTTATGTATAAATTTATCTCCTGATATTCATGTACTATTTTGTTACTTTTTTTGTGTGTTAGTGGTTAACACATTACAATTTGTTGTTTACAAAACTGGCATATGATAAGATAATAAAATAAGACTCAGTCTATGTGTTTCATAATCATTATTCATATTAGAATCAATGTTTAATATTTCTCATGTTGACATAACTGATAAATAGTATCATTTAAGACTGTGATATACTACTACTTAGATAATTAAAATAACTCATTGAATAAAAATAAAGAGAATTCAGCAAAGATAATTTTCTTTTCGACGAAATCATTTCCTTAAACTGTATATTCGTATTTATAGTTATATGAAAGATACATAAGTCTATTTCATCATAAATTGATTCGAGATTCTTATTATTAAATAAGGTTACGCAATAATCAAGGCGTAAGAAAAAAATATAAGGATGAAAATAATTTACGGGTCAGAGATGAAGAAAAAACGACGAACATATAGGTTATAATAATAAAAAACTGAGTAGTAATAACCAAGAGAACTTGTATAAGGTAATAATAATTAATAATGATAATAACTGAGTGCAGTTTAGAATTACAAAACACTAACTTAAAAAGTCGATAATAATAAAAGAAAAAAAGCGAAACATACTACTAAAGGGAATTAGGGCTAAGGAAAGATGAGAAGTTGGACGAATCGTTTTTGCACGTAAAGTTCAAGCTTGAGTTGGTGGATTGCTAATGCATCAGCAGTGCATAAGATTTTGATTCGACTTCCTTTCGATCCAATCCCTTTGAATGTGTAGATTACTTTAAAAGAAGACTCCTTTGAATCGGTGTCCAAAGTTGATTAAATGTTCCTTATTGAACTGGTAATTGCTTAGCATTCTCCTTTTAAAAGCTATACGGGGTAGTGTTCTGAAATGCGTTTGGGAAGTGATCGCTTTGTGCGATTAATATAACATGCCCCACATAAGCAAGTAAATTTAGATGCACATTGATATGGCCTAAAGTGGAAGTTTATCCATAACACATCCGTGAATGGTAGGCCGGTTTGAGAAAACAGTTTGGAGCTTAGCTGGGTAAAATGTTTTATTCAACGATTTTGAAAGCATAGTAGTTTCTGTGAGAGGACCGTTTGTAAAGAGAGAAGTGACATCCAATAAGAATATTTTCCTAACATTTACATTGATATTTTTAATTGAGTCGATAAAGGAATCAAGAAAGTTTAGTCATATCACACATACTAGCGTCAAGTTTCCTCTGTAATGAATTATCTTTTGTTAGCTAAGTGGTTTTATCTTGAAACTGTCATTGTCTTTCTAAACAAAATCATCTGCATATAACTGAAGTCCTTCCTAATAAAAGATATCAATCAAATTTATGCGTCTAAAAAGTCTTATCAATCTGTCAGTCATCATAGCCTTAAGAATTCACTACATAAACTTTTAGACGATTTTATTTATTTGATCTGTAGAGTTATACTTGTAGTTAATTTATAAATGATGAAGAATATTTACATCTCTCCTGGATGTTTTTTGGTAGTGTTGTGTCCTTCGAGCTAAACGATTTATTTATGGAACTTCATATGCAAGTACAGGCTGTTGTTTCCTAGAATGACAACGGAAGTTTTGCAATTCAATAATCTAACTCATAAAACACAATAAACCACTAAAAGTTCTAAATATTGTTTATAATAAAAATGATATGTTACATCATTCTACAAATTCATCTAAATTTTTCAAATGTAATTAGTAAGGATTTATGGAAATTGTTGAATTTCACTGAAACAGAACCCAGATTTTTTGGTATTGGGCTTGAACGCTTAACCTCAAGACTACTGAGTCTCCATTTAACGGTGTTAACACTGTTATGGAGTTTTTAGAAAAGAACGCAAAAGATAATTGTCTACTCTGAGTATAGAAGATGAAGAATAAGACAGCGATTAGTAATAATGACTGTGGTCACAATATAATAAGCAAATAGACATGACTCTTTTGTACACAAAGATTTATTTGTTAGTGTCAATTATTACTCTGTGCTTTGTCTTCTATATTCGTAAAGTAAACAATTATCTCCACGAAACCCCTTCTGATAATAATCATCTGCTCACTATTGACTGACTTTAAGAGGCATTTCCTGGAGTTCTAGTGAGGAGCCGTGACCAGTGGAGTTCAACCGGGTCTGTTGTGAGATATTAGCTCGCTGAGGACAATGGTGTACGGTGGCGCAATTTCGTGTATTAGTTGAGGTTAGAAATTAACACCGTTGAATGCTGGCTCAGTGGTCTGGTGGTTAGGCGCCGGCGCGCGAGACTGATAGGTCCTGGGTTCGAATCTCGTAGGGTGCGGGGTCGTGGATGCGCACTGCTGAGGAGTCCCATACTATGACGAAACGGTCGTCCAGTGCTTCGAGGTTTCCCATGGTAGCCTAGGTTCAATTGACTCATGAGTTCAACCATTGAAATTATCGACATTTTCAATGTTATTACTGTTTATTTCTATGACTTACATAACTTATCTTTAATATTTAATTTTTTTGTTTATTTGCGCAACCTCCTATTTCATTTGTAGACCATTATATGTAAATTTAACTGCAATTACGTTTTTACAAGTTTAGTGTATGATATTTTGAAAAGTGATTCTTTTTTCTTTGTACTGTCGTCATTTGTTTGGTAACATTAATATTTTCACTGGATCTTTAATTCTCCCGTGACTTTTCTTTTTTAATCTACACGTCAACCGAAAAATTTAATCCACATTGTAATGATTAGTACCATCAATATTTTGAGGGTTGTGGGGAGGCGAGCTTGAATGTCCTGGCTTCGATCCTCTGTGGAGTGATCATAAAAGCACACCACTGAACAATCCCACACTAGAACAAAACAGCTATCCAATACTTTGGTGTTATTAATGATTGTTTAACTTAGTTAAGTTCGTGATTCCGATTGATATTATCGTGTAGTGACTGGTATTATATTAAGCCCACATAGGTTATTCTAGCTTCTGGACACACCAATTTATTCATTCTTCTCAAGCTACATTTTGACCTTGTCACTTATTCGCTTATTAATCCTGAATGTTGTTTACATGATCGTATGTGTTGATTGCGCTATTCATTATGTGCGTGTAACTTATTTTTGATTGACTCTAAGTATCGAGTCAAGCATGATTAACTTGAGTTGCCTTACTCGCCTTCTCCGTTTCGTTTCCTTGATTGTTTGTCCAAATCCAAAGTTGTATGAAACATACGAATTCAAAATAAATCCTCGTATTTGACTTATTTAATTCCGTTATTTACTAATGCGATATAAGTCGTTAATCATAAACGAGGGTTGATGGTATGTATATTTCGATAACAAAACATCAAAAGGAATAACGGGAGTCAGATACTGGGTCACTAAAATCGTTTATAAATTGTAGATATCTAAAATAAATTCATCTTATTCTCATAACATTGATGTTCATACTTTGCTGAAATTTACAAAGGGAAGGTATCGAATTAAGCAACCTAAATATTTGTCTACCATTTAATTGAATTAAATGACATTTATAACTATCGATACTTGTCATTTACCTGTTTCCCCTAGACTTCGCCTTTATATATGTATAATCACTTCTGGAATTAGAGCAGCAGAGAGTAGCCGTCGTTATTGACTATCGATCACATGATGAAATGTGTCATATCTGACAATTTCGTAACATGTTTTTGATTAGCTTACTGAATTGATTCTTTTCATGAATAAGAAATTCGCATAGATTTTTTTTTATTTTTACAGAGAAAAGCGATTGTTTTAAGGTACTCAATTGTACTTTGTTCAACTACTCATTACTATGATATATATTTTGCCAAAACATGAATTTACAATTATATCAACCGTGATCGTAATGTTTATGTGTATATTCAATGTTTATAAGGATTCATAACGCTTCGATAGAAAACTTGGAATTTTACTTTTCCAACAATGTTAACCTGATAAGTAAATTATTGAGAATCAGTTGACGATAAAATTAATAAGCTAGAAAAATTGTGTTATCAACCAAGTTCGTAAGAATTTTTAAATAAATTCTCCTAAAAGTGCTCATTAGGTAGTCAACGCCAATAACAATGAGTGATTATCACATAATATTACGAAATGACTGCTTGACTGAAGGAATGAATAAACATGACAATAAATCATGACTCAAATGTTAATCAACTAGGAATATCACAATCGTACGGAAGGTTAATCGTGACCCAAATAACCCACTGGTAACGTTTCAAACTATGAGGCGTGAGCTGGGGTAGAGGACATATCGGAACTCAAAATTACAGATTACGAATATCCACTAGCTTGAAACCAAGGTTCAGGGTTTCTTATGACTACTTCCCATCACCTAACACTCAATGAATGGATTCAGAAATATGAATTATTGTATACCAACTGGTTGGTTCAAAGGTAACTCGATCACCTCTCCATGTGTATGTCCTTTCTTCGATTCTTGGATGAGTTATTTTTTTCCCTCGTGAGTGATCCTTTACTGGGGCGAAACAGCTATCTAGTGATTTATAGTGATTCAATAGTTCTACAGTCAAAGGCAATCCATTATGTGAAACTAAAGAAAATAGAAAATTGTTAAGTATGGCGTCAAAAGTACCTAAATTTTGGTATAAAATTTCACATATTGGAAGAAAATATCTTGACCACACAGTGAACGGACTTTTTAAATACGATTCTGACCAATAAACTAAATGACTATATTTCAGTTAATCTGAGTTAGACAATAGCCCTATTTTCGAATGCACGGTCAACTTCGAACATGTATTCTCATTTAAATAATTATCCAAATTTATTCAGAAAGTCAAGTGAACTGGATCATAAAGAGTTTTCGACTATAAACATCTGCGAAGTAGTGACTTTCCCAGTTAATCTATTCAAAATTGTTCTCTGTATTCAAACCGAATGTGTCTTAATCTTAGAATTTACTGATCTTC